TTCTTGGATGCACAACATTATGATGATTTAAATACCATACTTTACCATCTAGTTTCACCAATTCACCTTTTGGCACTTTTTCGGCATAGTTTTTCGATTCTAAATTATTCATGAAATCGGTATATTGTTTATGAAGAAATTCATTGACACTTAATCTCTTTCTCAGTTTATAAGCGAACACTTCGGCTTGAAGCCTGTTATTTGGCATCACAACATCACGATTTCTTAAAGGCAGATTGGTTTCATAATGTCCATCTTTTAATTTTATAGAATTGTCCATAATATTGATGAACCGTTTATCTTCTACTGACATGAATTGTCGGTCATCACATAGCCTTTCACCGAATTCGAGATTAAAGTACCTTTTAACTTGTAGCTCTAAATTATGGTCAACATGACAATAATTAACACTAATATGATTTTCAAATTTCCCGTTAAGACCGTAGAACAACCAACCCAAAGGTGATCTTACAGCATACGGTTCACCGAGGTTGCCTGTACGAATCTCGAGTGGCTGTGTCGCCAATGGAAAGTTCACACCAATCATCACTGTCACTTTGGGTATACAGTTACCACCCAAATCAGGTAATTTAATGTCCTTAAAATGTTCCCATTTATTGATATCGGACTGTTGAGGTGCATCCTTCATAGTAACTGGAATTTCATCCCTTATGTACGCTGGAGGCAAATCATAAAATGCTTTACCACAAACATCACTAACTTGTACAAGATCAGTCACTATACTAGTGTTTATAGTCTCTTCCAAATTAATGGTTTTTAACACAACTTGAGTTTGTTTACATCTGAGTTTCAGATGATATGAAATCTCATTGTTAAAAAATAACACACCCGAGCCATTATCTACGAAGGCATAGGTTGAAACTATATCGTCATTCACTTTTGGTTTTAGGCAGATAGGAACAATTGCCATTAAAGGGTTTCCACCCATAATTTCAGCTTTAACACAACCTGAAGTTATTTTGTAGTTCGTATTATCAATACTTTTCTTGACACTGGTTTCACTATTATTATTAAAGTTTTTCCTGTCCCTTGCAGGATCATGCATAACAGTTTGGTGAGTTCTCGTACACTTGTCACATTTTGACCATTCAGGATTTGGACATGTATCCTTCATATGACCAGGATTTAGGCATGCATAACACAAACCAAGTTTTCTTACTGACATATCACGATCAGATTGAGTGATTCCAGCAAATCGTCTACACTGCAATAAAGAATGATACGTTTGCTGTCCACAATAAAGGCATGGCGACTTTGCTGCTAGATTTTCACGTTTCGTACCATGTTGTACCACAGGTTGAATGTTTGTTGCGTTCACTCTCCTTTGTGGGATTTTTGGTTGAACGCTGAATGACTGATAATTTGATCTCTGTTGGTAACCCAATCCACTAACTCTCGGATCGTTCTCGTTCCTTGATAAAACACCCACAAAGTTTTCAAAGTCAATTAAAGTAGGAGAACGATTCTCCTTTTCACGGAGTCGACCAACTTCCGAAATCCACTTTTGTTGTATGGCTATAGGCAGTTTACTACACAATGTCTTAATAAATTCAAAACCATCAAGAAAGTTCATGTCTTTATTATTTTGTTTTGAATTAACACAATTGGTTAAGAATATTGAAAACTTTCTTAACCCCACTTTATCACCATTCTGAATTTTCGACCAATGTTCAGCTTTTGATGCAAATGCAGAGGCTATGAGTTGCGAATTACCATAGTCCCTGTCTAACAGTCTTCTTGCTTCACGATACGCATCAACAGGCGGTTCTATCAAAGGGCAGAATTTGATCAGTTCGTGTGCTTCACCCTTTGTGTATTTTAACATAAATTCTAAAAGTCTGGCAGGGTCACTAGTGTTCCGTTCAATAATAAATTGAAAATTCTTCACAAATGTTTGATAAGATAACACATCAGTTCCATCAAAATAATGTAATTCCTGACTAGGAAGTACTTGGTCCCTCTGATTTTCAACAAGTTTAGCCAATATATCGGATATGTCAACATTATTCACAGCCGTTTTAGGGCAACTATCAGAACTCACAGGGATTTCCGGTTCAATATTCACACAACTTTCAGGTTCAGTCACATGATTAGAAACACTGCTGGGAGAATGTTCAGGAATTATAGGTTTTTGTTTCAATGTTAGTTCTGAATCTGACACTCTACTTTTATTTTCTAACACTGTTGCTATTTCTGTTGCTGCTTTAAGTTGTGCTCGCAGACGTATTTCTTTTTGTTTTCTGTTGATTTCTTCCATGGCTCCTTCCATGGCTCGTTGCATTTCAAGTTTTTGTTTTTCTAGTTGATTGGACTCTTCCAAAGCAAACAATTCCTCTTTTAGTTTAATTGCACGCATTTTGGCTCTAGAGGCTGAAGAAATTTTACTCCCTTTACTACTAATATTCGAGATACTATCTTCGGGATTCACAGTGGGTTTATCATCAACCATAGACATAGTACCGGCCCCATGTGGCGCACGTGCTGCTGTCACTTGTTCGTCATGAATACCGGCCCCGTGCAGGCCAGTCGGCCTGTCGTCATTCTCAGTTACTTCAATGTCATTTTGTATCACATCATCGGAAATCAATCCAGGATCCGAGACAGTTTCACGACTAGAATTTGTACTTACAATTTCTATGTGTGGCTCCAAGACAGGCGGAGGAGGGGTTATGTTTCCCGCTTCACGTTTCTTCATTCCAGACATCAGAAAAACACAAATTAATGTCACAAAAGTGAAAGTCGCACAACACGATGTTTTCATCGAAATGTCAATTTCAGATGTTTTCTACTTGACTATGTGGATGCCGAGCTGGTGAAGACTAGTTCGATGAAGTTCACCCCACTAAATTATTCACATGACACCGCTACAAATCTAAGCTAGTCCCTTTTCAGCATATCGTTACATACGCGCGTCACCGCTTTGATAAAACCCCATGATGTGTCCATAAGAAATATGAAACTGCAACATAACAACTATTTATTCACCATCACATTAGTTATTTCACAAAGGTTCACTGGTTACAAGTCATATTCTGATAGATACATACATAGATAATCTTAGCGTTTTGGCTCGTGTTAACTTGCGGTAGAAAACAGTACGCTGTCACCAGCTCACATCACGCACTTTCATCTTTACTTTCATCGCACATGTTCACAACATCCGCTCTGTTGCTAAGCAACTGACTCGATTTTCAAGACACTAGATACTATCCTACAATATGCAATTAGACTCGATTAACTCACATTTAACTTAATATACTGCATGTATGCACAGACACATTATATTGCCATATGTAGATTTTGAACATTACAGTTAGCAACAATCAAGAACTAAACGAACTATGAGTAAAGAAAAACAAACATCAAAAGGGACTGGTATATTCCGTACAAAGGGTACCTGCCCAGTTTTATTCGATTCTGTTCTCAAGAGTTGACTGACACAACCCCAAGAACGAGAAGATGGTCAAGATTTATACACCAGTCGTGGCACCAGCGTAGAAAGTTTACTGGCCAAGTAAGTTACTGGTGACAGAAAAAATGTCAATAGGGTTCCTCGTAATGGAAGCCATTAGTGGAAATCAGGTCCAGATTAACCTTGCATGGGGCTGAAAATGTCACCGGGGCCCTTGCATATTCTGTTCATTGTCCGTCGCACACACAATGTAATTTGTATGTCAGTGCGGTTGATAGATAAATTTAATTGGTACACCATTTGGTACAATCATAAATTATTGTTTTAGAACTCATTTTGGGACTCCTTTAACATTGAAGCTCCTTTGTGCAGCCTTGTCAGCATCCAGCTTAATCCAGGCCTAGTGGAAATGGATTGGAAGTTGGATAATGAAATAAAATAAACAAGCGGTTGCCATGGAAGATACGCTCACATGGACAGAGAAAGAGCTAAAAAATAATGTGATTTTTTGTACAATTAGGGGCCATATTCCAGGAAGTTATAAACATACATTTCAAGTTTCATTAAAATCGGATAAAAATTATAACTTCTATAGAGTCCACAACCTTGGTATTACATACTTTTACACTATATATTTGCGTAAAAGGAGCGACCATTTTGTCGGGCAGTTTCGGTCCGATTTTTACGAAATTCGAACTCAACCATCATTAAGGTGCAGTAACGTTGACATATTTAAACAGTTTTTAAAATTGTATAAAAAGTGTGATCTCTAGAGGGTCCACAAGCTAAAATCGCGATTTTTTTGTACAATCAAGGGCCATAATCCAGTAATTTCCATATGCGCAAATATCGAAAGGATCCGAGATCTTTTACACTATTTGCGTATGAAGAGCGGCTATTTTGTCGGGCAGTTTCGGTCCGATTTTCACGAAGTTCGATCTCAATCATCATTATGGTGTAACGGTGATATATTTGAGCGGTTTTTTTTAAATCAGATAAAAATTGTGATTTTTCGTACAATCAGGGGCCATAATTCAGTCATTACGTTACGATATGCACTATTATCGAAAGGAACCGAGATCTTTGTGCAGAAATAGTGAATCAAACTATTTTCGTTTTCTCGCTATGTTGCCAAGTGGAACCAGTTGGTCCGAGGGCTCAGTCTGTCCCTTATAATTTTCATGCAGGGCTAAATGCAGAAGTGCGAACTTTTTAAAATCAAAAATGAAATCAGAGAAAATTGGATACAATCAGTCGATCACCAGCAGCCTTCTTTCTTAACAAGGAGGAATAATCGATGGTAATGTACGTACATTGAGAGTGATTGGTTTTTAGTATCGCTGGATCTGTTTTGTAGTTCCCCCCATCCCCGCTCCTATAACCTGGTTAGAAATCGCATCACTCTTGTGTTATCAAGCATTTCTGTTTCCATTTGCTTTTGTATTTATGGGAACAGCCCTGTCTACCCGACCAGCACGCATTTGATTATGTTGAGAGATGCCATACAACTTCATTATTGATCGGTATTTCGTTGGTTAGCAACAGGGGCCAAAACAATATAGTGAAACATAAAGCGTGCGAGGTGCTTTACTGTCAGGTTATCTAAAAGGAAATTCTTAGCTTCTCCATAATTTACAGTAAGTAAATTTTACCATTATATTATAACATTCAAGATATGCCGACAACACATATAAACGTAGTTCGAATTCTACGAAATGTTGGTGGTTGCCTCGTATACAAAAGATGTTAAATGCATACATGGTTTTAGAGGATGCTATGTTGGTCGTCATTGTGTAAGTACGTAATTATATAAAGTGCTGCTTGATGAGAAGACCTTATACTTCATTTAGATCATCAAGGGCTATGATGTCCCAATTTAGATCATCAAGGACTCAAATGTACCAATTTTAATGAAGAAAACTGGTTATTTTTATGTGAACGTCCAAGGCAATAGTTGCTTGCGTGCGCCCGCCCGAAGCTGTGATATTGATTAACAGAAAAGCAAATGGTTGGTTTTATTATACGTCCTAATTTTAGTGTAGTCGAATGTCACTGTCACTCATGTTCGTCCGTTCGTTCGCCCGTCCGCTCGTCGCTAGACTTCCAACGAGTTTTGATATTATGCCGCTTTGTTACGAAATCTTGTTAGGTAACAAACATACACCCACATTAGCTAGGCCATTGGAGTACATGTTGTACATACATGATATTAGCAAGGGCGCCTGTAGCGAGGAAAATCTGAAGTCTGAAACCCGATTTTCTATTTCGTATTCCATTTTGCCGTAGTTTATGTTACGGTGGCTGATTGGTATCATGTCGTGATGTCGTGGTGGCGAACCGACGAATCTGTGAATTTTCAGTTTTGAGAAAAACACATTTGAAATTTGCATTCTGTTGTTATCTCTGGCCGCCAAACAATACTATTTATTTGTGATTGAATATTTCATACCCGCGCATCAGGACTATTTAACTAACATTATCAAACCAGTTTAGTTGTTAGGCCTACTGAGGGTAACTTTGAATTTTACATAAGGATCAAAGTTCATGGCAGTCACATTCGTCATTTTGTTAGAATAAAAAGAAAATGGTACGATTCACAGTCGCTCCAATTCATCACTTTGTAAGATCAAAAAAGGTTGTTTTATCATGTACAGTACTCATAATACGTCATCTATACGTCGATTCGGGAGAATCTTTCATCCAGATTAAATCTGACGGCGACCAACGGCAACTGAGACGCTACGACTGAATTTACCCACGACTGGACGCAACCACGAGCAATCAGTTGATCATAGCCGTAAGCGCGCTTATGTCGCCCGGCGTCAGTTGCAGAATCGGACCCACAACTGATCACTTGACTGCCACTTAATAACCTTCAAAATGGCCTCATTCGCCATGTTTGTTACCGCCCCCCCCCCCCCCCCCTGGGTACTACGTGACTAAATAACCGAATCTTATTGACTACCTCAGCGAGGCGCCGATTCGTAGTAGAACATGTGCGACTCCAAAAAACTGGAGCCGACTGATTGCCGTCCGACTTACACCAGTCGTAAGAGTGCCACTTGATCGTAAACCAGTCGCCAATTTCAAGTTTAACGTCCACTCGACACAAACTAGGTCATTTCGGGTCCAACATATAATTCAATTTTATTTCAATAATGTTCTTGCGCTTAGGGGTCGTTAGCAGTGGGAGGGAACCGGAGGATCCGGAGAAAACCCGCGAGGTTGGACAGACAATCCTCTTGCCACGTACAACCGGGGAATCGAAATCACGCAGTTGACTCAATGGCAGACCTTATGATACAACGCGTACGTGCTAACCATTCGGCCATCCAAACCCCCGTGCAGAAAAGTATGAGGCGAAAACGATATTATTTGATTTCATTCCTAAACCTGAATTGCCACTCAGCTAATTCCAGATTAAGTTCGTCCCAATCATTGAAATGTCGATTGAGGACAGACGAAAATATGAATTCAAACAACAGCTTGGTTTATCGTAAATTAAAAGTAACTAACCCAATAAACTTGATTGTTGCTAGAATAAATATCATTTTATTGTTCGTTTTTTTTAAAAAGACAATTTGTATTATTTCACATAGTAATTTCGTGTAATTTTACAGTTTTGTGGATGCGTGCCATCGTATGATCTGTTCGACACTCTATTTAAAACAAATGGAAATGAAATAACATTTGATTTAACGTCATGCTGTTCTGAAACCTACATATTATTATTATTGTTCGATTTATATAGCGCTTCATTACACATGAGTGTTTCTAAGCGCATTCACAACAAAACAGTTCAAAAACATTTTTGAAATAAGTATGTTTTTAAGTTAGTCTTAAAGCTCTGGATGGAAGAGGACTCTCTAAGAGTTTTTGGAAGAAATTCCACATTTTAGCTGCTCTGACGGAGAAAGCATATTCACCAGAACGCTTATTATATTTGGGGATCCTCAATATGACGATCACTTGAAGAACGAAGGTTGGATCGCCGGGGAGTATAGAAATCAAAGAGTTCTTTTAAATAACTGGGTGCGGTGTCAGAATAAATTGATTTAAACACATTCACAAGAGCTTTAAATTGAACCCTCGCTCAAACTGGAAGCCAATGGAGTTTCTGTAACTTAGCTGATATATGATCAAATTTTCGTGTTTTAGTTATAAGACGTGCAGCATTGTTTTGCGCTATTTGTAGTAAATTGTAGTCTGTTTAAAGCTGTTTCTGGTGCTCCTAATAGAAGAGAATTTGCATAGTCCATGTGCGATGTTACTAATGCTCTAACAACACTCTGGCAAGCATCAGTATTAAGATTAGAGCGTATTCTCGAAATAGCTCTCATTTGATGATGCATTTTCCGTATGATACTATTGATTTGGGGAACTGGGGACATAAATTCATCAGTAACATAGCCCAGATTTTTAGCCTGCTTCTTGGGAGATATAGAGCAATCACCGATCTGAATGGAATCCGCTTTAAACAATTTACTGGATTGTGATTTTGATGATATGATAAGAAATTCGGATTTGTCATCGTTAAGTTTTAGCCTATTTCTGGTCATCCATCCTCGAATGTCATTAAGACAAGACTCAAGTCTACTGATAGAATCCTTGGAAGCAAGATAGTTGTTGTGTTGAAAATAGTCATATAATTGGGTGTCATCAGCAAAGCCGTGGTTTTGTACCCAATGTCTTCTTATGATTTGACCAATCGGAAGAATGTATAGAAGAAAAAGTAGAGGTCCCAATACAGATCCTTGTGGAACACCTTTCCTAAAAGCACAGGGTTGAGACACAGAACTGTTTATTTGCACCTTTTGTGTTCTATCTTGAAGATATGACTTTATCCATGACAGTGCGGCACCACAGATCCCAACCGAACATTCCAGCCTTTGAAATAAAATACTATGATCTATAGTATCAAAAGCAGCACTGAGGTCCAAAAGTACTAGGTGTACGGCTAGATTCCTATCCAGTGCCAGGTCAATATCGTTTTTAATTTTAAGTAGAGCCGTCTCTGTACTGTGACCTCGTTTGTAAGCTCATTGAAGTGATTCGTGTAAACCGTTTTCAGACAGATAATTTGAAATTGTATGGGCTACTGAATACGGCATACGCAATACAATGTGTTATGGGGGGTATCTTGTCGTGACATCGGCGCTACGGCCTACCCGCAAGGCTTCTTTTACTTGCACGACTAGACGTCGTTACTTGCCAGTCCCTCCCTCCTGCACACTAGCCACAGTAGTCTTATACTATAGTAGGTAAAATAGGATATTTAATCACATGCATGGCATTTACTGGATATGATTTACTCAAAACATAATACGCCTATAGTGTTTTATATATTAAAATCTAGATCCCATTTAAACTGTCAAAAAAATACTGAATACTGTAAACGTTTCGGTCTTTGATTGCATTTTAGCACTGGGAAAGTTGGATACACGAGTTTGAGATAGAGTGTGTCCACATCGAAAATAATTAAGAGTATTGTTTTGATAAATCAACATAAATGTTGACCAATAGTTCGAGGTTTAAAAAGTTTAGATATTTTTGATTTGCGTTCTTAAAAATAGTTTAGATATTTTTGATTTGCGTTCTTAAAAATAGTTTAGATATACAGTACCCAACCCTAGCCGCCCTCTCCCATCTCTTTCGTTTTGTCACAAACTGAACTTTTGATTATTGCTTATTGGAGGCTAGTCCAGCGTCTGCTTCAAATTCAAAGGGTAACTGTTTTCTGGAAATATTATAAGTGGATACAAATAGTTCTTTTTAATAATGAAAGGGAATTCTAAATGTTTGAATTTTACATCAGTGGGAACACAAAAAAAAAATAATTCTAAATTTACACGATACTACCTTGAAGTGACATTCGCAATGAACAAAACCTTAAACACAAATGTATTATTGTTAATATATTCTTGCTATTTTATATATTTATGAGAAATATACAATATTTTCATTAAGATTGTTATTATAATGTCATCGGGGGTGGTAAATAACTTGTCGGCGGTTATAAATAACTTGTCGGCGGTGAAAAGTCATACCACAACATTTATCACAATTGATTTTTTCGGGATTTGATATCTTGTATTTTGAGAATAATGTTAATAACTCATAGCCTACAATATTAGAAATCTGCGGTGGAAATGATAATATAATCATAAATATTTAAGATTTTATGTTTGTGCACATTAAATAGTTCCTTTTGTGATTTATGTTAATATGCTGTATTTTGAGAATATCATTAGCGGTCGTCGGCTGTCTTATATTACATTGAAATATATTCATAAATGTTGAAGATTTTATGTTTGTGCAAATCTAATAGTCGCTATCTTAAAATACAGTTGTGACGTCACCCTTTGATGTTGGCGTGCCATTATTTCAAATAATCGTACGGGCAACTTGCCAATAATCGTACGGGCAACTTGCCAATCTACATTATTTATACTAGTGAAATATTGGACTCGCGTGACGCATTTCACTGTAAAAGAACGTGCGGAGTATCTGTATTTAAGCCGTTTAATGGTCTCGAGCTTAAGACATTGCTTAATGTAATGTAAAAACACTCGGGGCTACGGCCCTCTTGTTACAATATACTTATAATGTCTCGCTCTTGACCATTAAACAATACATAATAAAATTCACTGATGGTTGAACAGAGACGGCCTACGAACTGCACGACCACTGTGGGTTGTTTTGGCTAGTGGGGGCGGACTTGATTCATCGCACTCATTGGCCGGCTTTCTAGAGTGTATCCTGATGTTAGAAATACTTACGAAAAACAATGTATATTCAAAATTAAAAAAGCCCCCATGCTATGCGAGAGCTTTACCTTATTTAGGGCCCCCTAAGCCTACCATGCTCCTCAGCCCACCGGTTCTGGATAATCCATATGCAGTAAATGCCATGCCTGTTGACTAAAAGACTGCTATGGCTACTGGATGTATTTTATATGCCAATATATAGAAAGACCATCAATAAATATTTCTACAGTTTGCATGAGAGGGGTATATTTGCTAGGCTTGATTGTTAAGACTTATATTTATAAGACTAAAATGATAGATATTTGATTAGTCATAGTAGACTGCACATTAGTCAATAGACTGCTCAACAAATGAATTACCACCACATAAAGTATTCAGATTTATTTATGGGCATAAATTGATTAGCTTTGTACAGCAATTTAGAGGGCGACATGTTTTTTGGTTGTCCCATTCTTACCCTCGCATGACTGGCTCCTCTGGCAAATGTTCTTAGCTAAAATTTATATGCGTTATCAGCTTTGGTGTAAGCGGACGTTAACCACTACGAACCTATAAATGAATGGCAAATTAGGAAAATTGATAAACTAAACTAAATAAACAGGCTACCAGTGAGACCAAACCAATCAAATTGCTTATGTCTGCTTTGCCTAAGCACTAAGTGCTCATGAAGTTTGAGAATTCTATCTTATTTATTGAGCCATTTAATTCTGACTGCCATGCATATCACCATTTCTATTAATAAAGGGATGTAGGCTATCCTTTATAATTGGATAAGTAAGCAACCAATGGAGTTAATATTTTAATCAGTTGGTTCTAGTCAATTGATTTCTCTTCAATTATTGAACTTATTTTAATTAAAATTCTGAAGATATGCATATAATAATGATATCTATAAAAGGATGTAGGGTATCTATATAATAATCGGACAAAGTAAACAACTACTGAAGCTAATATGTAATCAGTTGGTTTGAGTCGGTTGATGATTAGATTGGTACAATGTGCATGTATATAATGCCATTTTCACATGGTATATAGAGAGTATGACTAGCAAAGATAGGAATTGAGGACAGCTACTCAGATCAACTTTTAGAAAAAAAAATTGTTTGTTTGAATGAAGGCTTTTGAATGTGTTAAGAATTTGATTCTGGTAGCTGTCTTTGTTATTTATCTTTGTAATGTAGCAATAGTTGGATGGTATCTTTTAATTATCTATTTATGTACTGTAAAAATAGTTGGATGGTATCCTTTAATTATCTATTTTTATGTACTATAAAAATAGGTGGATGATATCCTTTAATTATCGATTTTTGTAATATAGCAATATCTAGTTTTGTACTAGATTGATATCCTTTAATTATTGATTGTTGTAAAATAGAAATATGAAATGAAATGGGGTTTAACGTTCTACTGTTCTGCTCCGAACTGGGCTAATGAAGACGGGCATACGCCATACAGTGGCACTACGACCTACTCTTATATCGAATTCCAACTGTCAAGGGATCTTTTATGTGCACGCCAATGTGTACACGGGACCTTGGGTTTCTATACCATCCGAATGATTAGACAGCTGTCCTTGTCAATGAGAAGGGGAAACCACGCCGGAAAATCTTGATGAACTTTCTTGGCAAGTGCAGGGATCAAACACCCGACCTCCAGGCTAGCGAGCCAGAAAAATAGAAATAGGTGGATGATATACTTTAATTATATATCTATATTTATACGCCCGCATTTTCATGTGGACGAATAATGTCTTCGTTCCTGTCCGTCCAGACGTCCATGCACAATTTGTTTGAGGACACCCTACAGGTCACAATTTTTATCTGATTTTGACGAAACTTGAAATATAAGTCTATCTCCAAAAGATCTCGGTTCCTTTCGATATTGGCATGTATTGGACCATAACTTCATGGATTATGGCCGGTGATTGTACGAAAAATCACGTTTTTAGCTTGTGGATACTCTAGAGGTCACAATTTTTTTTCGATTTTAAAAACCGTTTAGATATATCACCATTCCACCATAATGAAGATTGAATTCGAATTTCGGGAAAATCGATATGGAACTGCCCGACAAAATGGCCGCTTTTTGTACGCAAATTGTGTATGAGTATGTAATACAAAGGTTATGGCCCCTCTAGAGGTCACAATTTTTATCCGATTTTGATGAAACTTAAAACATGTCTTATATTCCAAAAATTTCATTCCCTTTTAATATTTGAGCATTTCAGACCATAATTTTCTGGATTATGGCCCCTGATTGTACAAAAAAATTGTTTTTAGCTTGTTCTCTATCCACCCTGCCAGACAGCCACTGGTTTTAATATAGAAATAGGTGGATGATATCCTTTAATTTATTTTTTGATTGATTGAGGTATTTACATTTAATAATTTTATTTTTCAGGTTGACATTGTTGCAGCAGTACACTGTGTCAATCAACATGGATGCTTTTCAGATTAATGGAAATGTTAATGGAGATGGCAAGGGGCATGTGTTATTAACTGGAGGAGCAGGATATATAGGAACAACTATTGTACCCATGTTATTGTCTGCTGGATATGAAGTAACAGTCTTTGACAAATTTCTGTGGGGAATCAAACCATTATTATTTATCTCTTCACATCCTAAATTGAACATTGTTAAAGGAGATATATGCAATCCAGAAGAATTGAAGACAGTGATTAAAGGAAAGATTGGTATTATCCATTTAGCAGCTGTCGTAGGTTATCCTGCTTGCGATAAAAATCCAGATTTAGCTGTGACCACAAACATTAATGGTACTGGTAATATCACCCAACTGATGGAACCTCACCAAAAACTGGTATATGCCAGTACTGGATCATGTTATGGTGCTGTGGATGGTATGTGCACAGAAAACACACCCATTAGTCCTATTTCATTGTATGGAAGCAGTAAAGCTGGAGGAGAAAAGATTGTCTTGCAAGCTGGAGGCGTTGCGCTGAGATTGGCAACTGTATTTGGTGTCGCGCCACGACTTCGTTTGGATTTATTAGTCAATGATCTAACATTCAAGGCCCTTAAAAATAAAAGTTTTGATTTGTACGAGGGTCATTTCCGTCGCACATTCTTACATGTGAAAGATGCTGCCAGGGCCTTTATTTTTGCATTGGAAAACTATAAATTGATGAAGGGTGAAGCATATAATGTTGGTGATGAAAAAATGAACTATACGAAGGCTGAAGTGGCCCAGATAATCCAGTCTAAAGTCCCGTCTTGTGAAATAACAACAAACACAGATGGTGAAGATAAAGATAAAAGAGATTACGAAGTTAGTTATGAGAAAATACGAAATTTAGGATACAGATCAACAATATCGGTTGAGGAAGGTATCGTGGATTGCCTTAAAATATTACCCATGCTGAAAGATGAGGAATTGGTCAATTGCAAAAATATATAACATATACATAAATAAGTATATACATGTAAATATTAAGTAAGTGGTGTTAAGCATACCTCAGTGTTATCTTTTGGTATATCTTTTTTTTCACATATTTCTCTTTTCAGACATAGTAATTTAACACAGATAATTCGTCTGAAATAGGAAACTTTTGGTTTATTGTTAGCTGTATGCCTCTGCCCTATAAAGTGAAGACTGTGGACCAAGATTTCTAATGATTTCGAGGCCAGAGGTCATTTAACATAAAGGGGCCATGTACCTATAATTTAAACATACATTATGCAAGAGCTAAATCTGCCTATTGCAAGTCTTTCTTTAGGCCTGAAATGTTATCTAAATTATTAATTAGACATTAATTAACTGATCCAGGCCATAATCAACTCTCGATGGCATCAGATTTCTCCGATATTAAATAGATTAGAAAGGTTCAGCCATATTTTGATTTAATTTAAAAATGGAGGAGCGAGACATAGCTTTGAATAACCAGTATGGTGGTTGAAATCTTTAAAATAGAGAGAAATTGGGTTTAACGTCCACTCGACACAAACCAGGTCATTTCAGGACTAACATATGGTTCAATTTTATTTCAATAATTCGCTTGCGCGTAGGGATCTTTAGCAGTGGAAGGAAACGGAGAACCCGGAGAAAACCCACGAGGTTGGACGTGCGACCCTACTCCTTGTCACGTACAGTTTGAAATATGCAAATTATTTTCCATTTTTAGCTAAAACAATTCTGTCATTTGAAACAATAACGAAGCAATAACCTAATTTGACTATAATGAATATAATATTTGTTGTGATCGAAGCAGAGACAATATGGGCAGAAATGATCGAGGCTAAGTTATAGACAGATTTATCCAGGCACAAGGTGATTACTCTTCAAGAAGATCATCCCCGGACAACCAAAATTTGGTATTTCTTTACAAAGTATCACAGTGCTTCAAGGTCCAAAAAAACTTTTTATTCATTGAAATATATCTGGGATTTCTCCTTTAAGTGGTATTAATACATTGCATAATAATGTATAGATAGGCTTTGTCAATTGGCTTCTGTGCTATTTGTATTTTCAATTCTATAATGCTCGGTCACCATTAGATGCAATAAATAAGTTGATAAGAAGATGTTAATTTATTAAAATGAATAGTATTGTGGGGAAAACAAAAAAAGAAGTGCAATTATAAATGTACATAAATAATATGCTACAGCAACACAATATAAAAGGGGGCTTATGTTGTCTTTGCCGCGAGTTGCAGAAAGTTAAACATGTGCAATTGACTGCAACTAGTTGCTTTGAGTTGCCCCCAGTTGCGAAACATCATTTGCTTTCAGTTGAAAGGATGACATAAGCCCTCTTAAGCCATTTGAAAGATGTGGGGATCATACACTACAGAGTGTAATATCTTTACATTCCCAGGTTAAAAACTTTTGTGCCATAATGACTTGATATACGTTTAGTATATTCAGCTATATACTGTTGATCTCTGTAATTTTTCCTTGTTTGTTGACAGTTCACTGATTTATTTTTTACAGTGCAGTATGTATCATAACTGTAGATGCCTATACAATGTATTTTATGACTATATTTTTATCTATGTTAAATTTTACCATACACTGCTTAAAATAACGATTGGTATAATGTCCATTGGTTTTCTGCTTTATTAACTCAAGGCATTTATATGTTTTGTTAATTATATAATAACCCCATACCCACATAATCAATAATTTGTTGTAAATTTCAAATAAGGGCGCTAACTCATTTGCATAACTGAAATGTTCGATTTTTTCTAATTTAAAACATATTTTGTCTAAAATAGTGGAGAATACAAGATGAAATATATTATATATATTATGTTAAACAATGTTTCCAGCTTTGGTCTGAAGGAACAGCAAGGTAATTTAAATTTGGTAATATATTGAGGGTCCATTGATTAATTCTTTATGTCTGTTTTTTCTGTCCTTGTTTTCTTTTATGCAGTTGTCCGGCATTGTTTATAAGTTTTCAGTGGCTCTAGTTAATATTACGAAGCTGAGACTGTCTTTTATAAAGGCTATTCTTTTCTATGCATGGTTATATTTTAAATATGCCTAGTTTTCAAACATTGCAATTTGTTTAGAAGACCACAAGCCAAGAGATACCTTTTCTTCTACATCAGTGAATTCATAGATAATCATAAGAATATAATTAGGGTTTCACACTACACTGCGTTTCGCATTTTAATTTCCCATTAGAACGTTTCATCAGCTAACTTACTGGTAATTTAGTAACCAATTTTGTCGGGATCACTATTTTGACATATGTAACACATGGTAACAAATGGATAAATGTAACTGATATTGCGGGATTTAGTTGATTCTGCTTCTGTTTTATAACACATGTGCAATGCTTGTGTGGAAATCTGTTCAACGATTGCATTTGTCCAGGAAGTTACATATAAGTTCACGGGTAACGTGGCACCGAAAGTGACACAAGTTTAAGGGTAATGTGGCACCAGTGAAGCCCGTCATTACTGCATCGCAGTTCTAGTTTCCATATTGATGTGTTTAAAGATACTTTCCTGTGTATAAACTGTATGATTTGATGATATATTTGGATTAAAAACATATTCAAACTTATTAATCTATCAAAAATTTGCTTCAAATCCCTCTCAAAACTTTGTTTTCGCAGGGAGATACCTCAAGCTATAAATTAACTGTTGTTAGATGCCATGTCACCTCAATTCATTGAGGGAGGGTCCATTTTTCAGAATGCATTTTGCATTACTTACTGTCCATTTATTATACACATTGAGGCCTAAGTAAATTTTTAATTATTTTCTGTCAACTTTTTTTTCCACCCTTTAATTGCAGAGTCTTTGTACGTTGACACCCCTCAATGTTTCTAAAACCGCCTAACCATTTGATTAAGAAATAACAACTGCTCCCTCAGTCAAGCTAGCACACAATAAGTTGGCAGACAACAGTTGGGTTGCCAGTTAGTGATACCCTGACATTATTGCCCAGTCCTTGCCCCGTGGGTGTTTTTCGGGTAATCCAGTATCTTTCTATTAAGATTGGGTGTCTTTACTGCCCATATATACCAAATTTCACATACTTTTATTGGAAATAACCACCAGATAAACACTTTCGGGACAATGTATCTTTAAATGATGAGGTGCTGCATTTTGCTTTAGAAAATTTAATCTTAATTTGCTGTAGATTTGCTTCAAATCCTTCTCAAAACATTGTATTCGCTAGGAAATACCCCAAGCTATAAAAAATTTATTAAAAGAAGTCATGTTTGTGTCACATGACTTGGCTGATGTGGTACCTTAGCAATGGGTATGAAGAACTCATTGCATGTACAAGACAATATTGTCTTTAATCCCTGTCCATTTATCATAAATACTGAAGCCTAATTAAATTCTCGGATTATCCAATGTCCACATCTTTTTCCGTGGTTTTTATCTCAGAAACTGTTGTACGTTCAAGTCTCTCACTTTTTCCTAGTCCACTCTCCATATACATCAAGCGCTCCCTAACACTGAGAGATCAGACAACCTTCCTGTGCAACCTTTGATGTTTCCTAGTCCACTCTCCATATACATCAAGCGCTCCCTAACACTGAGAGATCAGACAACCTTCCTGTGCAACCTTTGATGTCACCGAAGCAGACATCCCTAATCGTCTGGTTGCCAGATTAGGTAAACGCTCCATTTGTGTTTTTCAGGGAATCCAGCATTGTTCTAGTAAGGTTGGATGTTTCCACTTTCCATACATAACAAAATTGTCATACTTTTATTGGAAATAACCACCCGATAAATACTTTTGTAGGAAAGTATCTTTAACCTTGATTCTATGCAAGCCTGAACATTTTGTTGTAATTTATCAGCCTTTAATCATACTAATTGTAGAATATGCATGTTATTTAGTATAAATAATGCCCATTATTTATATCTCAATAATGTCACTTATTGTAAGCAAACATTAATTTTGTTACCAACGTATTCAAGAATTAGAGTTTTCAAACATTGTATTTGAGAAATGTTGAGTTTCTTTTTCATTCACTATGTTTGTAGATATGGCCATAATATAGTATATTTTAACTCCACGCATAGACTGGACATGATTGTTTTTTTTACAAATTACTAACAATATTCTACTTTAAGGTACTTTAATTGAATGAATGTTAAATGTATTGAACACTGTTTAAAGAAGTTATCATATCATAAAGATGAGGAACTTAAATTATCACTGATGTTTTTAAATGAATACCATGAACCTTATGCTGTATTTTTTTAACAATGTATAATTTTGCATAGTTAATCCTCGCTAAAATGATACCGTTAGAATTAATGCCTAATAAATGAAATGAATATTTGAAATATTATATTTGATCATATTAGCCCACCAACCAAAAAGGCTTATGTTGTCAAATTTGTCCATCAACCGGTCGACTTAAATAATTAAGTCATTTTTTACTTTTCCTGCTAAAACTTTTGATGGATTTCAACGATTCAACTGGGTAAGAATGTTGCCAGGGTGGTCTTTATTCAGATTTGTTCCAGGTGATTGCCCCCATGGAAAAAAATATTCTTCTAAGAATGGCTGAATGGATTTTTTTGTAATTTGGTAGAAATTATCCTTTAATAATCCAATTAGGGGCTGAGAAGGACAGAGGTGCCACAGACTGGGACAGAGTGCCAATTTTAGCAATTTTGACTTATTATCTCAAGTGCTTAGTGGATTTTGATAAACATGGGTATGCATGTTGTAGTTATTAAAGGTTGTTGAAATGAAGTTGCTTAAATGGTGGTATAGAATGGAGGGCTCGGCAGGCAAAAAGTGTCTAGTCTTGTGGATGGCACCATGGACCTTATAATACATTATAAGGTCCATGATGGCACAAAAAATAAAGTCCACCTGTGCAGTGTGCACTCTTGGCATGCATTTAAAATAACATTTGGCAGTGTGAATTTACTAACATAAGGTCTGTATTGTAAATTACTGAGTAGCAAGCCAAACTGTGACACCAGTATAATGCACTATTTATACAGAGTTGTATTAGCCCACTTTGAGAGGATTTAATTCTATGTTAATCTTGTTTGACTTAAATCACCATGTGCATTGGGTTGGCTCTAAGGGTTTAACAGATGATTAGTTTATACATTTGTTCTTCTTGTTCAAAAATAAAGAAGGACCTTAATTTTAAAAAAAAATCCATCCATAACATATATTTTTGAGAAACCATTAATTTTTCTGTTATTGTGAGTATTCCTGTATTATAAATCTGTTGTTTATATTTTGTATATTGATATGTAATGGGTTTTTAGTGTTAACAAAAATACTTGTATAAGAATTTTTGATTTAAGGAATATATTTTATGAGGGATTTTATTAATCGGTTTTTCATAATGTTAACCCTTTCAAACTGAAAACATACTGAATAAAGGTGCAATACTCCCATAAGTTTGACCCTCAAATTTTGTACCATATATATCACTGTTTTAGGTCATGTTCTCACTAAATCATATCGCTGAATATTTAACCGTACATGATTCATATGTCAATCAGTACATGTCATATTAATTCATCGAAGTTGTTGGATCAGAATTTAATAACACATCAACTTTTATCAAGTGACTGAGTTATGTGCAAAAATATTTAATTATGGTTATGGTATGTGTACTTTTTAGTTATTGTATATAAAAATATCTGGGCAATTGGTTGAAAAGGCTAAAATTTGGAAATTTAAATGGACATTCACCTAATGAACAGCAACATCAAGTTTAAACATTCTACCTCAATTAAAAGCAGAGTTGTTATGTTTCGAAGTCTTGACCAATCAAATTGCTTATCGCTCCTTAGTCTAAGCAGAAAATTCACATCAAACTTAGTCAAGGTAATGATATAATGAATCTATACTCAAGTGTTTCATAGCTCTCACTTAATTATAACCAAAGTTATCATTCCCAATCAAATTGCTTATCTCTGCTTACCATAAGCAGACAATGTTCATCATCGAACTCCATCAAGTCATTCATCTAATGAATGCCTACACCAAGTTTGAACATTCTACCTCAATTAGAAATCAATGAAATGAAATGGGGTTTAATGTCCTACTGTTCCGCTCCAAATTGGGCTAATGAAGACGAGCATACGCCATACAGTGTGCTATGAGGGAAATTTTGCCTGGACAGCGGTGCTACGGCCTACTCTTATATTGACTTCCAACTGCCAAGGGATCTTTTACGTGCACGCCAATGTGTACACGGGACCTCGGTACCTCAGTTTTATTTCCTATTCGAACGACAAGACAGCTGTCCTTGTCAGGCCCTCCTTGATGCATCACTGACAAGGGGAAACCACGTTGGAAAATCTGGATGAACACTCTTGGTCAATGCAGGCTAGCGAGCCAGCGTCTTACCCACTTAGTCCCCACCTCAATTAGAAGGAGAGTTATTGTGTTTCAAAGTCTCGACCAATCAAATTGTTTATCGCTCTGCTTACCCTCAGCAGAAAATGTTCATTATCAAACTTAGTCAAGGTATTGATGTGATGAAACTATACACCAAGTTTCATTACTCTCACTTTATTAGAACTAAAGCTATAGTGTCCCAAAGTATCATCCAATCAAATTGCTTATCTCTGCTTACCCTAAGCAGAAAATGCTCATCTTCCAACTTCATCAAGGCATCAACCTAATAAACACCTACACCAAGTTTGAACATTTTAGCTCAATGAGAAGGAGAGTTATTGTGTCCCAAAATGTTGATCAATCAATTTGCTTATTGCTCTGCTTACCCTGAGCAGAAAATGTTCATTATTGAACTTAGTCAAGGTATTGAAACTATACACCAAGTTTGATCACTCTCACTTAATCAGAACTGAAGTTATTGTGTCCCAAAGAATCAACCAATCAAATTGCTTATCTCTGCTTACCCTAAGCAGGAAATGTTCATCTTTGAACTCCATCGAGGCATCGACCTAATAAGTACCCCTAATAAATACCAACACCAAGTTTGAACATTCTAGCTCAATTAGACGGACTGGCAGACAGACAGACGAACCCATTTTAATGGTCTTTCTTCAAAAGGCGGGGGACAATAAGTAAAAATTAATTAATATTTTGTCTGAATGATAGTGAACTTGAAGAGGGAATGTACAGTGATCGTAATAATACATTGCAAATGAATACGTACATTTTAAATACAGTCCCTAAATTTATACATTTGATGTTAAAGAAAGCAAACTGTAATATATAATGAATCAGCTATTTTAACAATAATCATTACATTAATTACATCTTTTAATCAGTGGAACAGTTCAATGCTGATTAGTTGGGGGTCATAATCAGGGGCCATAATCCATGAAGTTTCAATCCAATACATGTCAATATCAAAAGGAACCGAGATCAACCTATATTTCAATTTTCGTCACAATTGGATAAGAAGTGACCACAAACAAAACTGTGGATGAACAGACAGGGGCAACGACAATATACGTTCACATGAAAATGTTGGCGTATAAAAATGTAATGATTACATTTGATTACTATTATCCTAGCCCTGGTAAATACCATATATGAACTAACACCTATTGGTCTTATTCTCAAATGAAATGTAAACAGACTAATGTGTGACACCTGGAAATAAGCCACCTGTCACTGAGAATGTCTGACACAGACTTGCCATAACAGGTTGTTTTTTTTTTTATCAGATACATATCTGACACTATACAATAATAATATTACCCTAGTCCTAATTATAATCACAGCAGGACAATTATCATATGATATACCATATAATATATCAAAACTACACATCTAATAAGGCTGTTTGATGATCATCTAGTGGTCTAACATGTGCACTGCAAATGATAAGGTTTGTCATTGAGACTAGTATCATGGTTTTAAAATTTAATCACAGACTTATATCTGTAAGTGAAAAGGTATAGCGTCATCTGCCTAACTATTGCTAAATTCTCCTATGTACAAGCAAACTATTAAAATTAAAATGTACTAAATACCCAAGTTTAGTACTTGCATAGGGCATAGGACAATTTAATTATGTGAAGGAAAGATCCAATGGTAAAATGTGGACACGACAGAAATCTGCTGAATGCAGGGGCGGATCCAGAGGGGGGGGGGGGGGGAGAACCTTTATTGTCAGATGTGGGACAGGATGGGCACTCAAAGCACGAGATAATGATATAGTCATATAGACATTATTTGATATCACAATTAATGCTTTGCATCCATGAAATTGAATCACAATGTCATTGTATTCATTCATAATAAAAATTGACGTCAAACGAGGTGTTGAATTTCTTTGTTTAAAAAGCTCAATGTGTATGTATATACGTCAAAATGACAATAGAGTCCATGCGGGAGGAGGGGGATACATTGTCTCAGGAACCTGGCAAACCCCCTCCTGCAAAAATTCCTGCATCCGCCCCTGGAATGTGATATAATCTGGGATTACAATATATTAATTTCTGGAAACTAATTTATATTAGGTGCATTTTCCTGTCCACTCACTAGGTATTAAAATGAATCGTGGATTGATATTCTTTTGATGAGCAGATAAGATGTAAATAAGACCAATTTTGGTTTTTAACCCTTACAGTGACAAGTATTGAAAGTTATTCAACATAAAAGTATAATACAGGCCTACATATTGAAAGTTTTCTACAGTTAGAAATCATTTCATTTGTCCACTGCAAGGCTTCCAAGGCAATGGCAATAACTCACATAATCACTTGGCTGACAAATTGACCATATTTAATGAATAAAATAATAACCAATGGTATTATGCTATTTATTGTAAGATATAACTGGAAGCAATATACAATTAAACAGTATACATTACAAGTGTATCTAAAATAAGGATGCGAAGAGGTTAAAACACAGTATACACCAATCCCATCAAAATGAGATAATCAGATCTACATAAGAATTTATCAATGTTAGTTTCTGTCCATACTGCGGTAATGCGACCATCACATTTTGAAATTGTTACCAAAATGTGGTATATGGCATATTTTAAATACCTTTTACTCAAAATGACTATAATGTGGAAATACTCTGTTATGATTTAAACACTTCAAGTATTTATTGTCAATAAATATTTATACAACGGTTAACTAACTGGTGATATTGCACTTTCCAATATCTAAGGTATTTGACACTGGCTGTTCAGTCTTTATTAATTTTTCAATTTCTTTAAAAACCAATATGCGATCAGACCAGTTAAAATTATTCCTGTAGCACCGACCATGTAAGGCGATATAGCTTTCAGATCTTCCCATACTAAAGTTAGTCTCATGTTTGCGACTTCTTTTTGAATAACTCTGTACGTGGAACGTCGCTGTAGTTGTCGGTAGTACCGATCTATGTTTGGACATTTATAACTTGGGAAATAACGAGTTTCGAGACCAAGAAGAACCAAACGGTTAAGCAGACAGGAGAAAGTAATGTCTGCAGCGGTAAAATGAGGTCCAAATAACCAAACATCTGGATTAGAATATGAATCAGCTGAAATAAAATAGGATTTCTGTTAGAGCATTTACAGGGCTGACTTAAAACAAATATAAAATTTATCTGGCTTAGAAGATACCTTGAAGATCCAGGAGAAGAAAATAATTCAAGCACGTTTTTTTTACCCGCCTGTGTTAAATAACAGTGCATCTGAACCAAAAAATAAAATAACAAAATATGTACTAAGAACTTGTCAAAGAGAAGTGTAACTAACTGCCCCTATTCCAGTGAGTTGGTGGGTCCACAACCTTGATATACCATATTTTTACACTGTTTGCATTTGAGGGGCGGCCATTTTGTCCGGCAGTTTTGGTCCGATTATCACGAAATTTGAACTCAACCATCAGGAAGGTGGAACGGTGATATATTCAAACGTTTTTTTAAATCGGAATAAAATTGTGATCTCCATAGGAACCAAGATCTTTGGGTTATAAACTTACATTTCAAATTTCAACAAAATCAGATAAAAATTGTGACCTCTAGAGGGTCCACAAGCTAAAAACGCGATTTTTCGTTCAATCAAGGGCCATAATCCATGAATTTACGGTCCGATACATGCCAATATCGAAAGGAATCAAGATCTTAGGGAGATAAACCTTCAAGTTTCGTTGAAATCGGATAAAAATTGTGACTTGTAGAGTGTCCACAAACAATTGTGGACGGACAGGAGCAAAGACAATATACGTCCATATGAAAATGTGGGCGTATAAAAACAAAGTGAAACGTTTTTTGAACATTACTGAATTCTAAAAACAAAGCAAAACATCCTTGATACTGGTAATTTTTTAGACTGGTTTTCAATTTGCCAAGATATAATATTGAACACAACATTCTCTTTTATTACATTCAACTATATATATCTATGACATACAGTACAGAAGTCAGAGTATTACTGAAACCGGAAAACAATAATAAATGATTTCCACTGCTAGTTTCTAAGGATTATCAACACGAGAGTTTGTTGAAATTTGTTCCAAGGGCCACATTTAAACCCTTGGCGGGCCGCATGTTTCACACCCCTGCCATAGATGATTAATGAATAGGAGAAATACTCACAATCTTGAACAGACTGCATCATCGCTTCAATTTCTTCCAAAATAGTTTCCAATTGTTCAAGTTGCCCTTTAACTTTTTCTTCATCTGTAATTACATCATACTTCTGGGCTGCTGTCTGACTTTTGGCTAAATAGCCATCTCTCAAATCAGGGTGTTTAGTAGCTTTATGTGTTAAATATCTCAATCTACGGGCAAAATTCTCTGGAAAAAAATGATTGTGGTCTTAACAAGCCAACAGTGAAGCTGATGTCCCCCACCAAAATTCCAAAAATAAATAGATGACACATTTTAATTTATCGCACATTTATTTTTTTCAAAATTATCAAACTGATTATCAACTATACACTAAGTTTCATCATTCTCTATCAGATAGAATCAAAGTTATTTTGTCCTAAAGCATTGACCTATGAAATTGCTTAGCTCTGCTTAGCATTAGCGTTCCAAAGTCTTGAACAATCATTGTTTATCCCTCCTTAGCCTAAGAAGAAAATCCTCGTCATCGAACTTAGTCAAGGTAATGATATAATGAATCTATACTCGGAGTTTCATCACTCTCACTTAATTATAACCAAAGTTATCATGCCCCAAAGCATCAACCAATCAGATTGCTTATCTCTGCTTACCATAAGCAGACAATGTTTATCATCGAACTAGATCAAGGCATTCACCTAATGAATTCCTACACCAAGTTTGAGCATTCTATATCAATTAGAAGGAGAGTTACTGTGTTCCAAAGTCTTGGCCAATCAAATTGCTTATTGCTCTGCTCACCCTGAGCAGAAAGTGCTCATTATCGAACTTAGTCATAAGGTATTGATGTGATAAAACTATACACCAAATGTCCTCACTCTGACTAAATTATAACTAAAGTTATCGTGTCCCAGCATCAACCAATCAAATTACTTATCTCTGCTCACCCTAAGCAGAAAATTCACATCTTCGAACTCCATCAAGGCATTCACCTAATAAACACCTACGCCAAGTGTGAACATTCTAGCTCAATTAGAACGAGAGTTATTGTGTTCCAAAGTCTCGACCAATCAAATTGCTTATCGCTCTGCTTACCCTGAGCAGAAAATGCTCATTATCGAACTTAGTTAGGGTATTGATGTAATAAAACTATACACCAAATTTCATCATTCTCACTTAATTAGAACTAAAGTTATTGTGTCCCAAAGCATCAACCAATCAAATTGCTTATCTCTGCTTACCCTAAGCAGAAAATGCTCATCTTCGAACTCCGTCAAGGCATTGACCTAATAAACACCTACACCAAGTTTGAACATTCTAGCTCAATTAAAAGGACAGTTATTGTGTCCCAAAAAGTGTGACGGACAGACAGACAGACGGAAGAACCCATTTTGACAGAAGAACCCATTTTAATAGTCCACTGGTTTCTTCAAAAGGCGGGGGACAAGAATAGGGAGTACAGGAGCTCAAATATTTACTCCAACTTAAAAGAAATATTACAAAATATATTTTTCCGACTTCAGATTATTTACCTCTCATACTACGCTGTACAGCAAAGGGTATTCTACACCCAGAATCAGACAGATAAGGATGGAATATGATTCCATATGTAATGACATCCACAGGAATATTATTTAACTGATATCTCACTGCTGCCACCGACTGTCCTAATTCTGTGTCCGAAGATGGAACTAGGCATGGACCTTAAAAACATAAAGATATTATTGACGTAAATAAATTATTCAATTAGCTGATGAATCTTGACCAGGTGTCCCTGTGTTGTAGGAGGGTTGATTCATTGCGAATGGGACTCACATGAAACTACATCCGTTACATATCAATGTGGTTCCTGTTTTGATACAGAACGTATATATTATAACAGCAAAGAATTGATTAATTCTGTTGCTTCTTCTATATTTTCATTGTCCTTGTAAGAGGTTTTTCACACCCAACACTTTATTATAATCATAAATTTTTCATTTGGGCTTCTTTTTATTCTATATTAAAATTAAGAAACAGATATGCTAATAAAATATTTCCAGATGGAGTTGAAATTATACGAATGACTGTATTATTAAAGTTATATTCTACGTTGAATAAATTCCATTCATTAGAAATAACTTTATTGTGTTTCTAATGATCAACCAGTCAAATTGCTATAGGCTAATGAAAATCAATTAACTAAAAGTAAAATTACTGCTTTCAAAGAATTGACCAATTCAATTGCAGTAAAACAATATACCTCGATAGCACACATAGGAGTGCATATAAAAGAACCCTTAACAGTTGAATTCGAAAGAAGAACAGGCTGTAGCGCCACTGTCCGGGCAAAACTTACCTCATAGCACACTGTATGGTGTATGCCCATCTTCATTAACCTAGTCAGTACAGAACAGTAGGACGTTAAACCCCATTTCATTTCATTTCAGGGGATCACGTGGCTAAGTGGGTAAGACGCTGGTTCGCTAGCCTGGAGGTCGGGTGTTCGATCCCTGCATTGGCCAAGAAAGTTCATTCAGATTTTCCGGCGTGGTTTCCCCTTGTCAGTGATGCAGGATGGAATGCTGTCTAGTCGTTTGGATGGAACGAAAAACCGAGGTCCCGTGTACACATTGGCGTGCACGTAAAAGATCCCTTGGCAGTTGGAATTCGATATAAGAGTAGGCCATAGCGCCGCTGCCCGGGCAAAATTTCCGTCATAGCACACTGTATGGCGTATGCCCGTCTTCATTAGCCCAGGTTAGGAGCAGAACAGTAGGACGTTAAATTTCATTTCATTTCATTTCATTTCAGCAATTTGTACATGAGACCTCCCAACTGAATAACTTAACACACTTTCTATGTAACCTCTGCTTTCATTTTGAAAGATACAACATATTTATTCTGGTAGTTTGGATATGTTCTCCAATCAATTTATTTGTCTTTATTTACAAATATATCTTTCATAAACCTGTGGAAAATATCTGTATAAACGTGGTCATATTTACCTTCATCAAAAGTCCTGTCTATGTAATTTATAATATCTTCTGGATTACTGATAACATTTTTATCATGAACTAAAACTGGAACATGAACACCACTTGGATTCAATTTTACATACCAAGGTTCCATATGCTGACCATGAAACAGACTGACTAGCTTTGGCTTAAATTTTACATCTTTTTCAAAAAGTGCTAATAAAACCTGAAATTTAAATAATGAAAATTAATAATGAATATCAATATAATATAATATAATATACACCTATGTATAAAAAATAATATAAGTTAAGCTTTTGCCCGGGATCTCGATTCAGTCATATTGTGTGTGAAATAGCTTTGTTTTGTCTTGTTTGTATTTAGATGATGCACCTCTAAAGCAAAAAGGGGCCACGGAGGCTAAGTGGGTAAGACGCTGGCTCGGTAGCCTGGAGGTTGGGTGTTCAATCCCTGCATTGGCCGAGAAAGTTCATCCAGATTTTCCAGCGTGGTTCCCGTCAGTGATGCAGAACGGAGGGCCTGACAAGGACAGCTATCGAGTCGTTCGGATGGCACGAAAAAACCGAGGTCCCGTGTATACATTGGCATGCACATAAAAGATCCCTTGGCAGTTGGAATTCGATATAAGAGTAGGCCGCAGTGCCGCTGTCAGGGCAAAATTTCCCTCATAGCACAGTGTATGGCGTGTGCCCGTCTTCATTAGCCCAGTTCGGAGCAGAACAGTAGGACGTTAAACCCCATTTCATTTCATTTCATTTTCTAAGGCAAAAAACCCCAAAGATACCTGTGTTTACGGTTACTCAATCGACAACATTTTATTTTAGCTGAAGTCGCTGACCCTATAACCTTTTTTTCTCATTTCTCAGGTCTTATGAATATGTCTTGCCATGCTTTTCTTCTGACACTGAAATTTTGGTATTTATAAATGTTGAAATCAGACTCAGTAATTAGGCTAGAAATTCTATGAAACAAATAAATAAACACTTTACATATTTAAAATGACGTCACAAAGGCTTTAGAATGCAACTGTCAATGTAGGTTATTAAAAGATTATCAGTTCAGCAGTTAGATCTATCTATCCAATCCTACCCTGCAACCCCATGAAAATAGAAAAAAATTTAGAAAAGAATAAGCACTTTCGATCGACCAACTATATTTTTTGTAGTCAAGTAACTGTAAACACAGGTAGACTACCAGTATTATTTGTTTTGGCCAAATGAGGTGTACAAGCCTACTAGTAAAGTCTTATCTTATCGTCACATGGAATTACTGACACTCATTGATAAAACGAGGGGGCGGGGTTTATCACATTGAAGCTACAGTGGTTGCTTTTGTCGTTTTCAAGTCTTGTGTATTACAAACTTCATCATTTTGCGTTTTTATGTTACACTTTTAAGTTACCGTTACATGTTTGGGCCATATTTTCTGCCTATTATTTTCCTCAAGCTATGGTTTTTATATTGAAACCAACAGAATGAAGTTCAGATAGCACTAGTACTGTCACATGTAAATTATTGTAGAATGTAAATTTTACCATCAATCATTTTATAATGTATAGTAGATCTAATACTATAGTAACAGTATGGAAAAAAATATGTATACATATATATGTCAACTTGAAGGTGCGTATGTGAACTGCTAATGTTATACTAAATTACATGTTGCCTATAGACTATTGTAGGCCCTATATTGTAATTTTTGCACCTTTTGTGATGAAAATGACGTTGGAAAGTAATATAATGTACATCTATTGCTGTCATTCGCATCACTTGTCAGTTCTTGGCTTGAGCCTTTCGACAGCATTGCAAATCCTGTAAGGTCGTTGTCAACTTTGAGTGCAATAATGGTTCATTAACAAAAACTGAATGTCGATGAAAGATTTCTTTCAGGGGACACAACTCTGATTTATAATGTTCGTCGCAAACTAGAATTTATTTATTGTAAATGATTATTAGGAAAATGCCGATAGTCATATAGGGTATTATTAATAACAGTCAAACGAAGCCAACTCTACACCCTTCAGTCTAAACTTTCGGAGTTCGTAAAAGTTTTATTTTTAACAAAAAAGAACAAGACAGATCGATCCTTTCATTCATAGAGATAAAAAAGGGGGCATTAATTTTGGCTTCATTAAATATGATAAAATGGCTCGAATTTATGGCAAGTTTATGAAAAATAGGTTACTGTCTTAAAAAGAATTTAAGCTTAGTAATATCTTTTGTAAGAATTATAGAATTTTCTACCGTTTAAAAGATTATAATATGATTTGATAACATAAACAAGAGATTAATTTAATAGCCGCCCCTGGCACGTGGTCCTACTACTTTCGATTTTTCAAGATGGAAAGAGTATTGATGAAGCAAGGAGCTGAAGGAAAATTGTATTCGTCGGAGTTTTATGGGAAACCGTGCATTGTAAAGGAACGATTCACAAAGTCATATAGACATCCTGCATTAGATAAATCTCTTACAACACAAAGAATAAAAGCTGAAGCAAGAGCTTTACTGAGATGTCGGATGAGTGGTTAGTATTAAATAATTAATTATAATTAATAATAGTTTAATAGTTAATACGGTAGTTCAAGTAGTTGTATAAAATAATTCGCAACCCTACTGAGTGGTTAGTATTAAATAATTAATTATAATTAATAATAGTTTAATAGTTAATACGGTAGTTCAAGTAGTTGTATAAAATAATTCGCAACCCTACTGCCACTGGCAACTGGCATAGTACTGGCAACTGCGTATCTGGGCCATTGACATTTCATAAAATAAAAAAAAAATGAGCAGACTAGGAAAGATGCATTATGTAAGAGCTGGCCATTCTTGATATAAGTTATCGGTGTTTGAAGTTTTGACAAGACAGGGTTGCCTCCATTGTTACAATATTGCATCAATTGTTCTAATCCATTCAATATCTCAGCCATCCGCTGACCCAGTGAGTAGATTATGGGCTTGTGATGTGAATAAACGACCAAGGCAAATAATAATTTACATAACATTTGAAGCCATAACAAAAACCTGAAATAGGAGATTTATTAAAAACTAAATGTACCTGTCTTGAAAAATTGAACTCATGATAAACTTGTTCATAGGTAATATCATCATTAAAGCGCGTTAATACTGAAGAAAACAGTTTCTAAGGCCCTGTTGGTGTTTATATTCACTGATTATTTACAGATCAGGGTTTTGAAATAAGAATGTTTTGAGTTGAGATTTAAAATGGCCCACAGATGGTAATTGTTTCATTGATTGGGGTAGTCTATTCCATAGAAAAGGACCAGCATAAGAAAACGCACGTTTTCCAAGTTGTAAGTTAATGGCTGGAGAGTTTGGAAGATGTTTTTTCTGAGAACAGAGATTTCTGCTGGTAGTATAGGGTTCTACCAGACGTTTTATATAAGATGGAGCCTGGCCGTTTAACGCTTTGAAGACGAAGAGGAGAAACTTGAACTTAACTCTTTGCTGAATTGGAAGCCAATGGAAAGATTGCAATACAGGGGAGATGTGTTGATGTTTTCTAGTTTTAGTGAGGAGTTGAGCTGCTGAATTTTGAACATGTTGTAGTTTGTTAACCTGATAGTCTGGTAAACCGTATAGTAAACCATTGTGGTAATCTAGTTTAGTTGAGATGAATGCGTGAATGAGTTTTTCTTTATTTTCATATTTGAGATAGTGTTGGATCTTTCCAATTCGATGTATATGATAGAAGGCAGTGGAGCAAATACTTTGTGTGTGATCTTGAAACGATAGATTCGAGTCTAATATAGCACCAATATTTCGAGCTTTATGGGTTCCTGAAATTATTTCTTTATCAAAATTAACTAATGTTTGATCAATTTTTCGAAGTTGTTGTTTGGTTCCAATTACTAGCAGTTCTGTTTTACTTGGATTTAATTTCAAGAAATGTTCTGTCATCCACGCAAGAATTTCTGTGAGACAAAGTTCTATATTTTGTATCATAGAATGTTGAGAGTCTGTGTCAAATTCAATATAAAGTTGGGTGTCGTCTGCAAACAAATGAGTATTTAGCCCATAGCCTTCAGCAATCTTAGTGATAGGCCTTGTGAAGATGATAAAAGGATACATGTGTACAAGTACCCTTGACAGTTGGAATTCAAAATAAGAGTAGGCTGTAGTGCTGCTGTCTGGCAAAAATTTCCTGACTTTAAAACTCATTTCATTCCATACGAGACCAAGACAGTTTATCTTTTACTATGGCTTCAGTAATTGAAGATTTAACTATGTGAACTAGAGACTTTATTTAAATCTGCTCCTGGGACATCATCATTCTTTAATTCCAATCAACTTATTTATTTTTGACTCGATCATTTCACATTTATCTTTTTCAGGTATTGAATGTCCTGCATTGTACATGGTAGATATTGAGAGTAGATGTATTATCATGGAAAGAATACTCGATTCAGTGACAGTTAGAGAATACACAAGAACGTTACAAGAAAAAGATGATGTTAAAAATCTTCTTTCTCTTGCTAAACAAATTGGAGAAGTTCTTGGTAGATTACATTCTAATAACATCATACATGGTGATTTGACAACATCTAATATGTTAATAAAAGGATATGGAGAAAATAGTCGTATTATATTAATTGATTTTGGTCTGAGTTATTTCGATAGTGTGGCTGAAGATAAGGGTGTGGATTTGTATGTTTTAGAGAGAGCTTTCCTTAGTACACATCCCAACACAGAGGCTTTGTTTCAGGTTATTCTTGATACATATAAAGACAATAACAAAACAGGTGCTGAAGATGTGATGAAAAAACTTGAAGAGATTAGAATGCGGGGAAGGAAGAGAACAATGGTTGGATAATGAAAAGGGTGACCATGCATTAAACATTTTTTTTTACATTAAGGTATTAAATATATTTATTAATGCAATCCTATATTTTGTTCAGCAAATAAATTAGTATATCAAACAAAAACCTGCTTTCATAGCAATTTTATTGTTCCCCAACAACTAAAATAAAGTGGGTATGTCTGTCTCATTGGAAAACAATAACTCTGCTTCTAATTGAGCTAGAATGTTCAAATGTTTGTTATAAATGTGTGAATGTCTTGACTGAGATTGACAATGAGCATTTTCTGCTTTGCTAAACAGAAATAAGCAGTTTGACTTGCAGAGACTTAAGAATACAATAATTCTGCTTCTATTCGATAAGTCTGGTTCTACTTGAGGGGGCATGAGGGAAACTTGGTATATATACATAAAAAACACAACACAGTTTCATAGTATTTGATAAACAATTTGATTGCTAGATGCTTTATAAAAAGATAAATTTGCAAGTAATTGATGTGTCATCTATTTATTTAGGGACTGATTCGGGGGACATCTTGTTATGAACACTGGCTTTATGTCAAATAAATATTTAATTGATTTATATTTAGCAATTGAAATGCAATGCAAGTCATTAATAGGCCTGCAACAAGTGACTTGTCTAGATCATCTATGAAAATCATGGAGTCTCGCCCTGTATTGTTATTAAATAAACTGTCAGGCCTCCAGCCAAAGCCACGCAACACTTGTTCAATGCTTATTATATAGTTTTATCAGGTTATGAATGGCAGGAAAACTGTAAAGTCTGTACTTGATATATTTCAACAAATCAAAATACTAAGATTAATTAATCAATTAGTATCAAGCTAGAAAAATTAAGCAAAGATATGTATGGTTAGTAGATACTAGATGGTATATATTTATCTTGGATAGATTTTAAAGAGTTCATTATTTATGCAATTATTGAATATACATATTTCATATCTAAGCCAAGCCTCATAAAACAACACTGTTAGCATACTAATATTTATTTATAATAATGAAGTACACGTACAGCTATTAATTATTTAAAGGAAATATAGTTATAAATAGTCCAACATTTGGGTATTAATCTTTCCTTCTATGATTTTCTTTGCAATATCTACAACTCCAGCAGCCAATGGTTCTTTGACATGCCACCATAATTGTGTACATGTACATTGGCAGATCTCAAATTTTTGTCCTGTCTGAAGAACTATTCACTTTCCTTATCTGGTCTACTGGATCAACTCCTTAAAGGTGGGAACTGGTCTTGCAGAATCCCAGGTACATTCTAACAGAGAATCCTAACTGCCCCATTATCTATAAATATCATATTATATTGTCTTAAAACTGTAAAAAGATCTATAGACAAGGTTCAAAAATTTGTATTTTGAATTAAATTTGACAGGCAACACTCATTTTGTATATCTTTATTTTACTATGTCTCATTTTACATCAAAATAATTATGTGTTTTTGAAATTTTTTAAAATTAGTACTTTATTAAAGTTTCTCTAGTTTTAGCCATAACAAATGTATTTGTAAAGCTTCACACAGTAAATAGATTATGTTACAGTACTCAAGTACATGTTGAGTGTGAAATAACTATAAAACATATATATTTAGTGTATGTTAAACAATGGTTGTTCATGGGAAATTAGTTTAAGCAAGATAATTGATGCTGATCAATAATATATGTTGAGTGGTTTGACATTAGAAAGTAGCCTTTGTTTAATGGACTGAAGCTGATTATACATGTGCAGACGTGTGCTCATAGCCCAACATCTGTGCCTAATTTAAGTACCTTTTCAGTCCTAATATACATTTGAAAAAATTATATAAATATAAAATGCGTATGACGATATACATGGTTTTGGGTTTACTTTTAGCATGTAAATATACAGAGACACAATAAAAATGCATCACTTCTATGGATGGGTGCTGTATAAAATGTGGTTTTAAAAAGCTATGGTCAGTACAGTTTTGTGACACCTGAACACTTAAATCAAGTTCTGTTACCTAAAGGTTTGAATGCCATCAAACTACATGTACCATCATAAGACTGGCCAATAGTTGCCAGCAGACATGGTCAACTAAAGATCTGACAAAGCCTGGACAGAAATGTATACTACTGTGAGGAGTCCACACGGCGCCGATTGCTGACACTGTTTGTTGGTGACAGCACTGTGCCAGACAGCCTTACATTGTACCAATTTTGACTCCATATTGTTACTGACTTTTGATGGTTACTCCCTGTGCCTACATTTCACTGCAAAGTAAAGTTGTTATGTCCTCCGTGGGCTATTGTTCTTGTGTCTGTAAATGTCCAAAAATCACATTTGAGCTGCATTATGTCTCGCCAGCATTTCCAGTCAAATTAGTGGCACGTTTTCATTACATCTCAGTATATATTACATGGAAATTTAATTATATTACACAGTTATTTTTTCTAAGGCTTGGTTAAAATCTTGGATAATATCATCAGCATCTTCTAAACCAATACTACAAAAAAAATAAGATCAAGCATTTGTTTATATACAAAGGTAAAACATAAATTGTAAATTTTCCAAATAAGTACTAGTAATATTCAAATGTTACCATTTCAAAAGGTTGTCATTATAATTTGCTGAAAAGGCTCACAGTATATTGTGCCTGGGTCTGTTAATAGTCTCATAACACTATCTTCTCCATGAAATGGCAACAGGGTAGTAGAGTAGTGTTATCATTTCTCAAAATGCAGTGTTGGGAAGACGTGTTCTACTTGAACCATCTGTCTATATCCTTCATGTGAACGATTCTCTGTTTTATATCCTTACCAGAGTACAGTCTAAATGGAACTCTTCATGTAGCCACCTAGTCTGATGAGATCTAAACTGAATTCTCCCTCCCATACAAAATAAGTTTTATAAAAACGTAGTTCCAGAGTTCATAAATAAAGAGATAATGTGGGCATTTTCAGTGTGCTACAGAACATTAGTACATAAGTTATTATTACCAAGTTTTCTCTTGCTGACACCTTTTGAATCTACAGGATATATTAGGCCTGTTAATTATTAATGCATTTATCATTCAAAAAATCTCAAATATATATTGTTATGCATGTAATGTTCATGCTTATTTTTATATACTAATATTATAAAAGATGCAAATAAATTGTTTATAAAATATAGTATGAGATAGTTTTCATTATTAGCCCAAGAGATGTGGAAATGTGGTTTACCTTAACCTTAATGCATTAGGGAGAATATTAGATTCCCTTTGTTCTTCTTCAGTAAATAGGTAACGACCATGTGTCATTAAGTAAGGTTGTTCTATTATACTTTCCACTCCACCAAGAGAAACAGCCAATTGAATCAACTTCAGCGACTGAAAAAATAGTGCCAAAAATATTCAGTCATAGAAGAAGGGCTTTAAAATAAAATTGCTTTACTTGGTAGCAATGACTAATGTTCCAAACTATAACTACTCCACAAGTAACATTAGTAGACAGAACCATATATAAGCTGCTGAAAAATCTTTGACCTACACCAAAATACATGGAGAGATTTCTTCAATACCCTTCATACAACCATTGAATATTCATCTAAACATGCACAGAGTTATCATTGATATCCTAAACAGAATGGAACAGAAAAAGAAATATACTGTTAGTTATCAAGGCATATTGTCTAGGGTTTGTTCCCCTCAATTTTTGGGCAGGGTTTCACCATATCAGTGGTGCAAGAAACATAGGTCCTGTGTAACTCCATTTCATTTCATATTGGGACAAAAAGTAAGATTGTCCCTTAAACAAGTTCAAGAAGTGTACATCCAACCTATACCGCAAACAAAATCACAGTGAGAAATCTTTAAAACGTATCTATAAAAAGACATTTGGACATACACTGTCTTTACAGAAGTCTTTAATTTCTACGAGAAACATTTATAACGGATCAGTGTATGCCGAATGAATAATCACAGGAAGGAGTTTCATTTTAAGTTGTGGTAAGATTGAGTAACAAACTGGTTAATTACCTCTGCAACTGTTTTGGCCTCTTGTTCACCACCCTTTACATCACACCTGATCATTCCACCAAATGATTTCATCTGTTTCTTAGCTATTTCATGATGTGGATGTGATGGTAGACCAGGGTAAAAAACAGACTCAACCTTTAAGAATTTCATTTTAAAGATAGCTTGACAAGCTAGATAACATATATCCACCAGCAACTTCATCATATATTTCCTTAATCACCTGTCTCCAATATTCTTTACACTTTTGATTTATCTAAATTGCAATTTATGTCTACAGGCTAAACTTTATGTACCTGTATTTGGACTATTGGAGTCAAAACTTTTATGTAAATTCCCATATAAACCAAGATTGTTAACTCATTGTTACATTAATTTTGTGTTGTAATTTATATTGATTAATTGTAGAAATATTAACAGCCAACAAGATTCAACTTTATATTCAATATCCAAGTAACTATTTAATAATTATACATGAAGTGCACTTGTATAATATTTCACAAAGTTAACCAAAATGTCTGGGGCTTTCCCTAATTCAGACCCCCTAAGTAAAGATGAAACATTATTTATTTGGTTGAATACTCTTTCTACTGCAATAGCCACATTTTTAAATACCAAAGAAATGTGATCGACCAGTATACCTTGGGATGTTTCTCTAAATATTCTGCAATTTTCATAGCATTCAAACTGTGTCTCTCCATCCTTACTGGTAAAGTTTTAACTCCTCTGAGAAGTAAACTGGCATCATGTGGAGACTGGAATGAGAAAATACAATGTAGATATACATTAAATTTCTTATTTCAATTAATAGTTTGAAAGATAGAGTGCCAGGAAGAAGAAAATATGTCCATCAGCCATTGTTTAAAGATAGTTTGCCAGACAAGAGACAACAACACATATGCCCATAGCAGCTAAGTCATACAAACAGTCCATGAAGGTTTTGTCGCTTGGATGAGACCTTGAGCCTCCGGGCATCCACATGGTTGTTAGGTTGATCAAGGACGATTACTCCTTAAATGATTATAAAAAATACATTGAAACTCATTGTTTGATAACTTTATCTCCTTGATGTACAGGAAGGTAACAAAACTTATGTCCCCATTTCAATCTGGGAGCAGGGGTTGGATGGCCGAATTTTTAGTAAGTGCGCAATGTATCATAAAGCCTGTCATTGAGTCAATTGGCGTGGTTTCGAATCCCTGGTTGTACGTGACAAGGAGTAGGGTTGCCTGTCCAACCTCGTGGGTTTTCTCCGGGTCCTCCGGTTTCCTCCCACTGCTAAAGACCCCTATGCGCAAGTGAATTTTTGAAATAAAATTAAACCATGTTAGTCCCAAAATGACCTAGTTTGTGTCGAGTGGACATTAAACCCCATTTCTCTCTCTCTCTTTCAATCTGGGAGTATCAAAAAATCTTAAAACTTAAGAATTTAAAAAAAAAAAAAAAAAAAAAAAAAAATTAAAAAGGGAACAGACCACCAGCAAAAAGACTGTAAAATAGAAATATTTTGAGTGTTCTATAAGTTACTGTGTTAAAGGAGCTAAATCGCTAACATTTGGGACCTAGAAATTGACAAAAGTGGGTCGCAACGCATATAATACTGTAATATGAATGTATATAAACTGATTTACATTCAATGGTTTCCGTTTTTACTCCAATTTCAAATCAGTTATGTTCGGCGAAATAAGCCAGCAGTCTCAATCGAGTGCAAATTTCTAGCGTCTGGTTATTCCAGTCTACATACGCTGTTTGATTTGGTGCAATGTGTCTAACCTCGTCCCTCAAGTCTCTTGTTACAATTGGGGCTGAAGCGCATTATGGTACAATGTTTATTTTGTCTTACATATTGGATATCAAAAGCCCATCTTTTTCCGGTAAGATCACAACAAAAATGTTGATTTAATTTGACAAATAAATCGTGTTTTCAATGTTGAAGATTTTGGATGATATTGAGTTAGAGACTTAGCTACTTTAAGTCATATTCCGACTTTATAAAACAAACTGTGAAACTGAGTGAGATGTGAATGGAATGGGGTTTAAAATCTTCGGTCAAATTGAGTCATACGATAATTTTCATATCTATGGCTACGTGTGCAATGAGAGAGTGGAATTTCCAAAATTTTTACATTGCACACCAATGTGTACATAGTTTTCCGTATCATTCAATCAACTAGGCATACATTCTTCTCATCCCATACCAGGATTCAATGCCAGAACAAACTAATGAAACATATGAGCTATTAAAATTTATTACCAAAATTCCTCCTAAATTTGTCTGCCATTTCTTGAGCTTTTTCCATTGTTCTACAGTTCTTGTGGTGACACATCCAGCAATTAAATCACTATGTCCACCAATGTACTTGGTACTTCAAGATGGAAAAAAAGAAAGTGAAATAATTTCAAATGTGTTACTTCATAAAACGACACAGTGGTTCAGTGGCTCATAAACCAGGAGATCCCGGGTTTAATCTTAGTGTTGACCAAGAAAGGTCCTCAGTTTTTCCATCCTGGTTTCCCATATAATTGGTACAGGATTTTTTTTTTAAAACAATATTTTTATTCATAGCATGCACGTAAAAGACCCCTTGACAGTTGGAATTCGATGAATATATAAGTTAGCAAAATTTTCATCATACCACTCTACCCAGAGGCGTAGCCGTGAAATATATATTGGGGGGTCCGCAAATGAAATTATATAAAATGTTGACAATCTGTGACGCCGGAGGCATCAGGCTGCGCAGCAGCCGATGTAGCACGATCGGGAGAGTGTGTGTGTGTGTGGGGGGAGGGGGGGCACCCCCATAAACACTGTTTTGACATATTTTATGAGGTTAAACTAAAACATCACACCAATGCATTGCTTATCATGTTTAAGTCAGGGGGTGCCGTATGCATATTGGGATATGTACAGGTTTTAAACAGATAGAATCTTAACTAATCCTAATAATTGTTGTAAATAAATAGGAGTTAGGGCCCCACTCCCCCATGTGTGATGCCCATGACTCTACCTGGTGTATACCTGTCTTTATTGACTTTGTTGGTCTCAAGTGAGCTTCAAAATATTAATAGTCTTTATTTAACAGTTAGTAGGACTTGTCTGTGATATCACCTAAGGTGGAAGCGAATGTAAACCCCCTACTACCTACCTACCAGTTAGTAGGCTTTATAGCACGGAATGAATAGATGTCTTGGCAGAAAAAAAGACACTATTGGACCATTTTAGGTGTAAAATACACTAATCTATACTATCCTGAAGCCATACTGGACTAAAGGTTATCAATCCGTCTCCAAATGCCATGTTTTATAAAAGTCAAAATGAACTTACCAACTATGAACTGAAAGATCAACGCCATGCTTAATTGGTTGTTGAAGGTAACAACTTCCAAACGTTGAATCTACCATGGTCAGAATTCCAAGTTTTTGTCCCAGTTTACCAAATTCTTCTAAATTCAGAATCGTCATACTTGGATTACATGGTGTTTCTCCAATAAACATCTATACAACAAAAAATGACAACTTTAGAGGATGTTACACATGTCACGCCTCCCAATTTGGTCAAAAGTTTCAGAATTTTAGGCTAAAAATACATAATATCGAGTACATTTATCTTTCATGGATTCAAGATATAAATTCCCACTGATTAATTTCAATGTTGATTCCGGTTTCGATCTCCACTTGTCAAAGAATTATTTTTAATTAATAACTATGCAATAAACTTGTGCATTAACTTTGGTGTTCAGATCCCATGAACTTCTGTACTCTTCTATATTGGTACACTGGGCTGTGTATTGTGGTGAACTATTGGAAAGCTTATATGTGAATGATTAGGAATTTATACATTTGGAATACGCTTGCATGAGTAAGAAAGAACTCCTTCTGGCAGAACATCATGCTGATATAAACTGTGGTGTAACAATATGAAAAAATAATTAGATGGCTCCTACCCTTTTAAAGAGTGTATCATTCTACACATTAGTAGCGAGTTCATGAACTGTTTTAATTATTGAATAATGATATTAGGCAATTTCACACAAATGCTAACTTTAAATCTTTGATTAGAATTTTTCAACAGAAACTGAGTGCCTGTTCAATTATCAGGTTGAATACTGATATATAAAGTAAACCAAATTCTACAAGTGAGTTGACTGGGGGAGGTTGGAGACGGCTACTCTAGATCTGTTATAGCATTAAATCTTCAGATTGTAGCCAATACAGACCTTTGTGTTTGGTTTAACATTTTTTTGGTATTCCTCTACGTTGCATCCTGCTGGAATGGCTGTTAGTTCAATCCCATACTTTTCTTTAAAGTCATATAATAAAGTCACTGTATTACTGTACATTGGATTCTGATAGATCTAAATTAAAGAATGTTTTAATGGTAATTAAAATATATACATGTTGATATTTATAACATATTAAATTACAACAAAAGTTGTTAGGTTTTTTATCTAAATAAATAAACAAGCAGGCATTGTAATTGTGACTGACAAGACATTTACTATATCAAAATTATTTACAAGACTGAGACAAAATAACTCCTAGCTGTTAAGTACATTACATGGGTGGCAATTGTTACCTACTACTGCAGCATTTGCAAACAAAATTTTCTATAGCTGTGTTAGTAAAGCTTCAGTGAATCGAAAACAAATATTGCATTGCTCTATTGGACACATCTTGTAAATCTTTCTCTGTAAATTAAGACCTTATTCTCCTCATTTGTTTGTACTGACATATTGTATTATTGGACGTGTTGATGTAGTAAATCTTGTCTTACAATTATTCTATCAACCCCAGTTCCAAACGAGAGAGAGAGAAAAATGGGGTTTAAGGTCCACTCGACACAAACTAGGTCATTTCGGGACTGACATATGGTTTAATTTTATTTACATAATTCACTTGCACGTAGGGGTCTTTAGCAGTGGGAGGAAACCGGAGGACCCTGAGAAAACCCACGAGGTTGGACAGGCGACCCTACTCCTTGTCACGTACAACCGGGGATTCGAAACCACGCCAGTCGACTCAATGGCAGACTGTATGATACAGCGCGCGCACGCTAACCATTCAGCCATCCAACCCCCCAGTTCCAAACTATCGCTCGGTTAACACCTGATACCACATCTCATTTGATGAGTTTACATTGTTATACATTATTATTAGAGTATAACCTACTCATTGACGATCATGGAGAGGGCAACAGTGGCAAATGTCTAGGGCCCAGGGATTGGGTGATAAAAAAAATAATATATATTTCTCGAAGTATATTCCTGAAGAAACAAATTCTGCACTATTCGGAAATATGATTTGCAATAACTTTATTCAGATTACTAATCTAGATCAACACTAACTGCTTAGAATTAAGTATATGACTATTATAACTCACTTTTTTTTTAGGAGGGAGGACCCTCAGGCCCCTCAACCCCCAGGGGTCACCCTGTTAGGGTGTCATCTTGTCACTAATGACGGGCAGCTATGCTGCCTCTGAGGAAATTATCCTATTAACTGGCAGGTGTCATGATGTGTCAAGGGGGGTAACTCTTGCCATGATGAGGAATTAATGTATATGATTTCCTTGTTTATTTCGATTTAATCTGCTTCTGTAAGTTCTGTTAAATTTCTACCAAAGTTTCAAATTAATCTGAGCTAAAATTTTACAAATGAAATTAACAACTATCTTTGATTATTATTTATGTCTAGATCAACTGGCAGTTATTTTGAATACATGTTTGTGGGAGCTGGATATAAATTAATTTCATAATTCCCTCTTATCAGATATTGTTTGCCATGAGCCCAATAGAATAAGTATTATCAAGAATTTTGTGGTATGGTACATCCAACAAATTATCATATTGTTATATAAGATTATTGAGTGTTTTCATTGATATTACAATCCATACAATAAAACCTAAAACTGATGTCCCAGTGAAGCTACTACTAATGCTGTTTATTAGAAACATGGCGCTTTGGTAATATGTATATTATAGAATTTCCTATTTCATACAATATGATGAATCAAAACATAAATACATACTACGTGATCACCAGAGTTCAAGTGGCAAATGAATACAGTTGAGATAGCCGCCATTCCACTGCCAAATACCAAACTTCCTGCCCCTTCTTCTAAAGCATTAATTGCACATTCTACAGCTTCAGTTGTAAAATTACCAAGTCGTGAATAGATCTGGCCTCCCTGCATTTTAAGATAAAGGGAAAATCAAAAAGAAAATATCTAAATAGCATGTTCAGCTCATTAAATATTGCCACACTTTATAGCAATTATAGGTGATGGTTGTCACTGGTCAACTAGCTTCTCTGGTCGACTAATTAAAATAGTTGATACAACCTCCAGTCAGGGGCGGACTGGATAGCTCTGGGCCCTGTGACCAACTCCTTTCCCTGTGTCCCCAAATCTGTGAGCATGAATCATACCATCATCATTCAGTGTTTCGCGACCTTCAGAAGGACAAACTCTGTCAATGTTTAGGCCTCAGAATTAGAATATTTATACCCCTCCCGCTAAACCACTTTCCAAACCTCTTATCGACCACCCCTTTCCCAAAAACCTTTTTAATGTCATAGAGGCTACAGCTATTAACAGATTACTCTTGGTGTTAAGCATTGATCTCATGAGAGGAGGAGCCCTATCGATATTCGGCTTTCTGTGACATTCTGTTCCAGACTTCCCTCCTCTTTGCAGAAAACTTGGAACAGAACATGAAACAACATGCACATTGTCATGATTGTTGATATCAGTTGCCCAAAATTTGACCCAACCCTTTCGACTTTTTATTTTAATGACGAGAGATTTTTTTGGACTTACATGTTCCAAGGTTATCACAAATATGCAAAAGGCCATAATAATGTAATAATGTTACATTAAGTATAAAAAAACCAAGATGTTTTCTTTGACCTTCATAGATATATATATTTTTGTAATAATCCCTAACTGGAGAGTTTGGGCTTAATAACAATGTGTAACTAATATTTAATAGATGATACCATATCTGAATACAGTGGGTATAATTCCAGATCACATAAAATGCAGGAGCCATAGAATTCGGAACGGATTCACGGGAATTATTCTGTAGTCTGACACTCCCACTTATCGAAAGTTTACACAGGAATTATAGATCTCCTTTAATTAAATACCATCTCACTTTGGAGGCCCTCCTGCTTGTGGTGACCCCTGGGCCATGGCCCTAAAGCCCATACCTAAATCCGCCTCTGCTCTCGTCCGGCGTTGATGCTTGACATACAGAAAGCATTTTCATCCATGCACACTTCATAGACCGTAAAATAACGAGTCGGGTCTGTTAGGGTTAAAATGAAAGAATTGTTTTACAGTGCTATCATAAATATGTCTCACAATTTACAATTATGTTTTACAGAATCCAGCAGGAGCGACCCACCTCTGTTATGACATCAAGAAAATCGTCAATTTTTTCAATACGATACGTTGAGGCATGACATATTGGAGGAACTAATGGGGTCGTCTCTTTTCCAATGTGTTTCCGGGGTCTAGCCGAAACAGCTCTCGTATCCAAACTAAGATTTTTCAGATCACGTTCTGGAACTGGTGGAAAGCCTCTGTCTCTGTAATAAAGCAGAACTGTAGGTAAATTTAAGATATATTATAAATCGTAAAAAATAAATGGAGCTATGCCTCTTTGATTAGTAATGGGACAACCTCTATACGATTATATTTTTTTGGAATGATTAAACCGGTTTGCTTACCGTACTAATTTTAGGGGTTATTTGGGGTTTCTATATGGCGACACAGGAACACACAATCGATTATATCTCAACATTGACATCATCTTTGTAGGTAACGCAAACTGTTGACAGAAAGTCGATTGTAACCGACAAAAACAAAGCTGAAATTTGCATTACGTTTTATGGTTCAGAATGAAATGAAATGAGGTTTAACGTCCTATTTTCCTGCCCCACCCAGGTTAATTACTCTTGTTTCTTATTATTACCATCCGAACGACTAAGGGGAAAGCACGCCGGAAAATCACGATAGGTATCCGACATTTCACCATAGTTTCACATGAGAATGGCCTCTGAGTGAAAATTGAAACACTTAGCATTTTTAAGTTAAAGAAGTTACCTCTGTCATATTTTTCCAGCTGAAAACATGGTGAAAAATAAAAGTACAAAAATTTTACTCGGGCACAAATTCAGTCAAACAATACAAACAAAGCATACATAGGCTATATAAAACAAAATAAATCTAAAAAAAATAAAAAAAAACAACAAATGCACCTATAAAATAGAAACGGATTATAAATTTATATACGGAAGGTGATTAATTAGCCCACGATAAATTAATGAGATTGGAATGAAATCCTTAAATGTCGACATTTGGCAGACGTCTGTTCGTCGTTAGCGCGTGAGGTGATAGGCTACAGCACGTGCTAAGTGAAGGGGGCGCTATAGATGAGTCCCATGGCGCTCTCGTCATGCTTTTAGAAATTGTGCGCCCCCTCTCAAATGCGATTTTCAACAGTACTGAAACATTCTGATCTTCATTACTTCATAACCATTAAGCTCAATAGTTTCAAAAAATATACCATCGCACCTAGATATAGCATGTTCCACATAGCCCAAAATTTATCGCCCCCTTACCCTTCCCAGAACTACTGAAAGTTCAATTGGTTATTTCAACACCGGTCTTTATCCACAGACGTAAACTATTATCCCATGTAGAAATATATACATATACAAATGAGAACGTCATCAAATTTGATCAATATTATTTAATGCATATAAACTTATAATTGAAAGAAAGTAATCATATAATTTCAAAAACTTACGACATCTTTTTATTATGCCTCAGTGATAATATGCTGACAGCAAATGACTTGATAGGGAATCAGAAATTTAGATATACACTGTTAAAAATAAGTGCAATTAAAAACTATAAATGGCGTAAACGTTACACCACAGCTTATGATTTTAAAACATTTACACTCGAGTTACACCAAACCAACACTTGACCACTGATTATTTCAAACAGTAAACGTTTTTTTACTTGGAAAAACACCGTTTTATTGCTTTAACACCATTTTGTGTCTAATAGTTAATAATAAAATCTTATTTTACATCACTTTGAATTTTACTGGAATTTAAACCTGTATTTAGGTATAATATTTAATTTAAATTCATGGGTGTAAACTATTTAAACATTTATTTAAGTCAACGTTCCACTATTTTCAGTGTATAACTCACCGCAATGTATTGTGAAAATTTATATATATGCAACATGGCGAATTAGAAATGACATATTGTTTTTCACTGTGTAGGCCAATTGCTAAGTGGGTCATTTTGAAGACTATCCCAGTGAAGGAAATCCTATTTTAAGTAAACTATTATATAAGACGTAATGATAAAAGTTTATAGAGGTATGGTGTATCAAGGTCAACAGAGATACAGACTTGAGATAAGTATAACAATTTAACCTGGGAGTCCGGCCCGTAACTAGCGGGCGCAGAGGGGGGGGGGGCTGCCAAAAGTTTCGCCCTCACTGTGAAAAAGTTGTCGACCATAAATATACATTGTCCGTCAATTTTACAGTACCCCTGAGAACACTTGCCCCCTCGTTGCTCTAAGCTAGTTACGGCCCTGCTGGGAGTATACAGAAAGAGAGTTGGCGTTCGTATTGTAGTGTATTGTTGTTCTTGTTTTCTTATATTAGTTTTACTCTCTCAAACAGGCTAGTCTGTAGTTGGAACACACATTTTATAACTGTAATTTTATTTTCCCCCAATTTCTTTTTTATCTTTTTGCACCCTTCAACCACGCCCGACTTTACTAACAATAATGAATGTCAGATTCTTTAAGAAACATTCATTTTGGATAGCCTCCGTCAACTGTTACACTTTTGGGTTTTTATAGTAGGTCATAATGATATTCCCTTTCGTTCTGATATTAATCTCGAGTACTGTTTTTATATTCTAGTCATGATTGACACATTTGAATTTTGCTAACTAATTATAAGAATTAAAGTATGCTCCTTCACAGAGCGATATCACAGAGAAGTATTTCCGAGGAAACTGCCTAGTTTAAAAACCAGTCAGGGACTGGACGAATGCCCCCACCAGCACAATCGGGCTGACAAGAAAGAACCAAGCTTCTAAGCAAAGGTGTAGGCTCTAACGCTGTGCCAAAATTTCACTTTTATGCGGTGTTTGATTTATTGTGGAACCAAAAGATTTTTAACGCAGAAAACGTTGCGCAATCAAACAAGACTGTACAGGGATTAACTTAGATTTGTCAGACATCGAATGTACACCCACCAACTGTTCGGTAAAGGTCCGCATATAAAAGTTATAGTATGTTATTTCTGACTTGTTGAGCACAACACGGACATAGCAACTCCGTCACACATTGAGAGAGAGAGAGAGAGAGAGAGAGAGAGAGAGGGAGGGAAAAAAATGGGGTTTAACGTCCACTCGACACAAACTAGGTTATTGCGCGGACCGGGGGACCTGGAGAAAACCCACGAGGTTGTACAGGCGACCCAACTCCTTGTCACGTACAGCCGAGGAATCGAAATCAATGACTCAATGACAGACCTCATTACACGCTTTAGTAGGATATATATATATATATATATCATATGATATAATATATATATCAAGTACATAAGATTATTTACCGCGTTGTCATATATATTTCACTATTTCTAATGGGGGTAATTTATATTATGTTGACCCACATTTTAACTCTTAGTCAGATAATAAATTATTTACAATTTAGTTAAGTCATCTTAAATATGTTGACCCACATTTTAACTCTTGGTCAGATAATAAATTATTTACAATTTAGTTAAATATTTTTTAAGATACTTATAGGGGCCAGATTCTTTTTTATTTTATGTACTTGTGTGAAGCAGTCCATAGTGTCATATCGTTCAACCTGGATAGTGTCACATCGTGACCAGGATTTCGACCCTGGAGGAAATTGCTAGAAGAAGCTTCCACCTACTATGGTGACACTTTTCCTGTGTCACAGCTTCCCTTCGTCTCGAACTTCACGTTGTGTACTTTTAAATAGATCAATTAACTCTGGAACAATATGTGTTTATAACTATGTTTATATATCTTTATAACATCCAACTACACACACAGTATGGCATTAAATATAAACTAAATATAATTTTCCTAGCGTGTGTTCTGTGGCGAGCGTTACACTCTTCTTTCTAAATCTACCTGCAGATGTCTATCCCGACCTCTAAGCCGAGGCGGCTAAAGGTATGCCTTTTTAGGAACACTATATGATGTCTCTATCCCGGTCTCTAAGAACTCCGCAAGATGTATGAAGCAAATTTAATCGCGTTCTTTAATTTATATAAAACGTTTAGATACTTCAGTTATTAGGGCGGGCCATTACCATCTTTGGGTAACCAGGTTATGACGCCAGTGACCGATTTTAATCTGCAAGGTACCTGATTAGCCGAAATCTAGTTGTGGACACGTCCTTCTAAGAACCCAGCATGATATATGAAGCAAATTTAATCGCGTCCTTTAATTTATATAAAACGTTTAGATACTTCAGCTATTAGGGCGGGTCATTGCCATATTTGGCTTACTATGACGCCATTGACCGATTGTGATCTGCAAGGTACCCATATAATTAGCCGAAATCTAGTTGTTACCCATTTGTAGTTAACGACTGCAATACATTAAACATAGCACCATTTAGAGAAGTAAAATAATTTCTGTAAACATGTAGTATTACACTTGCTTTGCAGATGAAGTAAATTTGATTGAAATAAAAAAAAAAACAACCCAAAAAACACTATTTCGCGCGCTGTTGGATTGGCCATTACACTACAGGCGTGTAAGTTAAACACACAAACTATGCTTTGATATAGCATCGTACAGTGCAGTTTAATCAAACGAAACGTGTAGTGCACGGGACTGTAATAATCTTAGAGTCTTTGAAATATAATTAGTCACTAAAAGTGACGGCTCCTCTGTAGCACCATAAACGTTATCAACTATTATAATCTCAATGCTATACCTAGATAGAATTATGTAATAGCTTTAAACGATCAATCGATTTTGTGCATTTAGGCCAGGTGTTGGGGGCGGGGGGGGGGGGGGCTGTTTGGCATGGACATAAGATTTGTGTTAATTAGGTGACATTTAAATAAACTGGGTCAGTGTTAGCTAAATGTTGCTATTCTTTTGCCTTATATCATCATTCCGGATTACAATCTTCACGCGTTCTATACAAAACACACAAAATGTAGGATCTCATGCCATTACTTGAAATAAGTCATCAAATTATATAGAAGCGGAACAAGTAGAAGCCACTTCCAAATTGCTCCCAGTAACACTACTATTTTGAAGCCTTGATCTAGCTTGTAAGCTTATCAACTGTCGAAAATAGGGATTAGAATTACAGGCGTAATATATTACGTCAAAAATACTCTTAGGACTACTTCTTAACACTTATTGGAAGGGCGGGGGTCAACTAAGATGCCACTTCCAGTGGTTTTCCATCTCTGTGACAAGGAAATAAAATTGACCTTACTGATTGGTGGCATGGATGGAGATCCTCTCCTTGAGACAGGTCGTAATAGCATGATCGCTGGAGTAATTATGTCCTACTTTTGTGATCCATCCGACTAGAAGACGGGCATATTTCAAATTCGAACGGTGAAAGGTTCTTTTACGCACACACCAATGTACGACTAGAACGACTAGGTCCTAATCCTGCACCACGAGCAAGGGGAAAATCCTGAAGAACGGTCTCGGCTAACAAGCGGGTAGTACCCGGGACCTTCAGGTCAGCAAGCCTGTGCCCCCCCCCCCCAAGGTCCTGTGTACACATTGGCGTGTACGTAAAAAAAAAAACAACTTTGACGGGGTAGAACCCTGAGCCACGGCGGTTTCCTTAGCGGCAAAACAACTTACCTGGTATTGGGATGATAAACCGATATTTCCATCCTCAGAGCAAGGTGAGGCAGAAAAGTAGGCTGTGAAACGCCATTTCGTTTTTGGGTTCAGTTCTCGACATTATTTGCAAATGATTTGTTCTCACTCGCAACACGACGGCAGTGGTCTCAGACCTGGATCGGTCAGCCACGTCTGTGGGATAATAATGAGTACGTTCGCTGGGTAAATGAAAACCGTTCCATAACCGCTATGCTTTTCATGGCAAGTATTGTAAACACTTCGAGTTGCTGATTCTGCAAGTGCATTGTGGATATTCAGGGGCGGATCCAGGAATTTTTGCAGGAGGGTGTTTGCCAGGCTCCTGAGACAATGTATCTCCCCCCCCCCCCCCCCCGCATGGTCTCTATCGTCATTTTGGCGTATATACATACACATTGAGCTTTTTAAACAGAGAAATTTAACACCTTGTTTGACGTCAATTTTTATTATGAATTAATACAATAACATTGTGATTCAATTTCATGGATGCAAAGCATTAATTGTGATATCAAATAATGTCTATATCAGTATCTCGTGCTTTGAGTGCTCATCCTGTCCGACGTCTAACGATAAAGGATAAAGCACACGGCCGAGAAACTTTTGTCATAAAAAGTGTTGATTTACAAAAAAAATTATGTAGCTGAGCAGGGGGGGGGTCGACCCCCCCCCCCTCTGGATCCGCCCCTGATATTAAGGAATATCACCAGATTACGGAGGTGTAAATATTCATATAACAAAACCCAAATTCATTCAATTTATTGTAAACCACCAGTCACTTTTAACACTAACAAGGCCTTCTCATGGACAGCGCCGGATTAACCATGGTGGGGGCCTTGGGCATGTGGGGCCCCCAACCTAACCCAGGTGACCAGAACTTCGGCAGTATTATTCCACACATGTGAATGTAACTACATCAAACCTAATTTGAAGTCATAACGCTACGACATAGTAAACGACATGGGTCGATTTTTGACGAATGTCGAACACTGTAAGTACCATACGATAATACGAGAAAACGAACAACCACTGTTTTGGGTTGTCGGTCTTCAACTCTCTAGTATCCTCCACTTCAGAATGGGGTGGCTTTTCCAACTTTATTAAATTACGACACCAACAGACAAGATAGGGATAAGAGACTAATTTATGTTCATTGGAAAGAGTAGCCTATATATGTGTAGTTTCATAGACTACATTACTTGCGATTTTCGCGTTTTGGTTCAACAAAACACATTTAAATTTTGGTCCGGCTAAGATGAGGATTTTTGCGGGGATTGTTAACGTTATGGTCCTTTTATTCGAGGTTTTTTTTTTGTTGGGGGGGGGGGGGCGGTTTGGTTTTATCATGTACTAGCAGGATACCCGGTTTCGCTCGGGGGTCATAAGTTTAAAACCGGAAGTGGTAGACTAACGCCACCTGGCCTATGTTACTCCCCGGTCCGAGCTACCCCTATACCCCAAATTTCAGACTCGGGGCAGACCTAGTGTAGCCGCCAACCCCGAACAGACAGACTTCGCTCGGGGGTCATAACTCCGAAACCGGAAGTGGTAGACTAACGCCACCTGGCCTATGTTACTCCTCGGTCCGAGCTACCCCTATACCCCAAATTTCAGACTCGGGGCAGACCTAGTGTAGCCGCCAACCCCGAACAGACCGGCTTCGCTCGGGGGTCATAACTCCGAAACCGGAAGTGGTAGACTGACGCCTCCTGGCCTATGCTACTCCCCGGTCCGAGCTACCCCTATACCCCAAATTTCAGACTCGGGGCAGATGTAGCCGCCAACCCCGAACAGACAGACTTCGCTCGGGGGTCATAACTCCGAAACCGGAAGTGGTAGACTAACGCCACCTGGCCTATGTTACTCCCCGGTCCGGGTTACCCCTATACCCCAAATTTCAGACTCGGGGCAGACCTAGTGTAGCCGCCAACCCCAAACAGACCGGCGTCGCTCGGGGGTCATAACTCCGAAACCGGAAGTGGTAGACTAACGCCACCTGGCCTATGTTACTCCCCGATCCGAGTTACCCATATACCCCAAATTTCAGACTCGGGGCAGACCTAGTGTAGCCGCCAACCCCGAACAGACAGACAGACAGACAGACAAACGACAGTCTCAAATATATATATAGATTATTAGGTGTTTGATTAGGCGTGTCCCCCGCCGGTAGTGATTCTCATAATCGAGCGAACAAACCGCCGTAGTGATGTGAACGTAAACAATGAGGCTAAGCATGGTTTGTAAACTGTTTTTGATTGGTTCGTAGAATCAAGCTACGATCAAGGGCAGATAATTTGAATACGCGAAAATCCCATGGATGAACGCAGGGTATAGTGGAGTAAAAGGGAATGGGACCACTGCGGAGCGGATACCGAGGATGGTTCAGAGATCACCAATGACATTTTTGACAGATTCTGCGTCAAAACTCGAATATAAATGTATTCAAAGATACCTTGATTCCACCCCCTAGTAGCACAACAAGTTGTAACCAAAATATTGCAGCTAAAGAGGATTTTAATGCCTGTTCTTTGTACACTTTTCTCGCTAAATAAACAAGAAAAAGAAACACGGATACCAGTCGAAAGTACGATACGGCATCGCCGGATTACACCGAATTATCGGGTGTCAACCACAACATGGATTGAAGGTGTCCTAATGTCCAGACGGAGTCGCTCACATCGCTTAATATGGGGGGGGGGGGGCAGTTGGGGTCTGGGCCCCACCGTGACGGGTGGTTAATCCAGCGATGCTAATGAAAGAAAAGAATCTGTTCAGGAAGACTCTTGTGTCCTTAATTATGTTTTGCCTAGTATGTAATGTTCGTTTTAGATGTGTGCTTATGGGAACATATACGGCACTGCGCTATGTACAATTTCTTGTGCTGGTTTTGTAAACTTAAAGGCCCAATACCACTCTTGTTGTAACCGAATAATATGTTCCAATCTTTATTATGGTCAACAAATTGTTCTATTTTACAATATTCCAATTAATTGATGATACAAATTTCATCTTAACACACCTAATTTAAAAAAAAAAATTGGAAAAATTCAACTAAATGATTTGAAAAATGAAATGAAATGAAATGGAGTTTAACGTCCTACTGTTCTGCTCCTAACCTGGGCTAATGAAGACGGGCATACGCCATACAGTGTGCTATGAGGGAAATTTTGCCCGGACAGCGGCACTACGGCCTACTCTTATATCGAATTCCAACTGCCAAGGGATCTTTTACGTGCACGCCAATGTGTACACGGGACCTCGCTTATTCATCCCATCCGAACGACTAGACAGCTTTCCTTGTCACCCCCTCCGTCCTGCATCACTGACAAGGGAGAACCACGCCGGAAAATCTGGATGAACTTTCTCGGCCAATGCAGGGATCGAACACCCGACCTCCAGGCTAGCGGAAAAGCCAGGCGTAAAGCTTTTCAAACGTGATTTGGATTTAAAAATATTTTTGAACCCTCTGGACAAGTAAAATTGGATTTAATGGATAATTTACACAACAGGTAGGACACTAACACATCTAGTACTTAGAATAAGCCTATTTTTTTACTTTCTGGAGCTGTCAAGCCAGCAAGAGTGTTATTGTCCCTTTAAAGATACATTATGGGAGATTAGATAACGAGTTGACAGTTCTCACTTTAATAGTTAAAAACTAGATGATGTAAAGGTAATTTGCTGAAAATTTCAGTCAAATTGATCCACTATGAACCGAGAATAAGGCGGTTAAAAGTTCCGCCTAGGCTCGTTCATCATTACTAAAGTCGGTACGACAAAAATCATAGTCTCGATTATCCATTTAATCGTTAAATCGAGAAGGAAAGTTATGCAGCAAATCGGGTTATAATCACACAAATATCGCAGGCTAACGTTGACATCGAGAGTTGATTATGGTCTGGATAAGTTAATTAATGTCTAATTAATAGTTTATATAACATTTCAGGCTTAAAGAAAGACCTACAATAGGCAGATTTAGCTCTAGCGTAATGTAGGCCTATGTTTAACTGAGTCATTTCAAACACCCATGAAAATATTGGACCAAGAAAATAAAAACGTGACTTTCTCGTAATTTTACCACAGAGGCCTAAATGTGTTTTCTGATAATGTTTTGTGGTCCACGTGTCATTTCTCATGAATGGGGGTGTGGTGAAACAGTATTTAAGATATGTTGAGATTTACTGGAATTTTATGTTGTTCGCCAGTTTTATTCAAATAAGTATGTTATTTCATATTTAAATGTCTTTTATAATTTTTGTTAATAGCATCATGGACAAAATGTGTATAAACAAGCTATATTGCACAAGCTAATTGTATTATGTACATATTTATTGTGCAGTAAGCCTTAGTACATTAACGCACACGTAGCTCTTTATTTTAAAATTATATAACTTGCTATTTGCACTAAATATAGGTATTAGTTAAAAGATTCCTTAAAAACATAATGTAACCTTTTTCAGGGATGAAGTGCTTTGTTTTGGGTCTTGGTTTGTTTGTATCACTTGTTGGGCTTGTCTCTTCGCTGAACTGTCACCATTATACAGTAAATGGCTGCAGTATTCCATACAATCTACCCTATTTTTATAAACAAAGTTTCACTCCTTCCTGTGATAAACATGATGTATGTTACGAATGTGTAAGTATATTACACCACATTTACCCCATACTACGTTTCCCTAATTAAGCCAGAACCAAACATCGGGAAAAAAAAGGTTTCGCTTCAAATATTGGAATGCATACTCTTTCTATTCCGATACCAGTTTCTGCTTTACTTTGGCATTTAAACCACGGGGCTGCATGATGACTCTGTTGGTGGACTATGCCGACGAGGTTGTCCTTCTACCAGATAGCCTTCGGCGACCTAAATCCAGATCCAAACCATCGCTCCATTTAGTTATCTATTGACGCAATCTCGGTAAACTTTTCTCTGGGAGCCGAGATTGCTATTGACGTGCACGGGTATTTTACATCAATTTTCAGTAATTATCTCGTCCATTTTGGATTGTTTGCCTGGATTTGTTTACATTAAATTTTTAAAACTTTTATCATAATTTCTAATCAGTTTTGTTCGTCGATATAAGTGAACAAATCAAACTGAATGGCTGTCGTTCGCTCCTGATCAATCCAGTCTACATAGGAAGTACGTTTTGACATTTCACTTACGCACTGACGTTTGGCCTCACCCATCAAAGCGTCTCATTACAAAATGCACTCGACGCAAAATATATTGGATATCAGGAGCCCATATTTTCACAGTAAAATAACATCACTATTGATTTGAATGGACTAATAATAATATTGAGTCAAGAGCTTTACACCCTTTAATATTTTTTATTCCGTTTTTTTTTTCTAAGGGTGTAGCTAAAGGTATTTCAAAGTCAACGTGTGATATAAAGTTGTATAATGATGCCAGAGCTGTGTGTGCCAGCCATGCTATAGGCAGACGTTTTGATGAACGCAGCGTGGAGAGTGAATTCTGTACCCTCATATCAAAAAGTTACTATGAGGCTGTACATTATTTTGGTGCCAGCCACTTCCCAAGTACTTCTCCTAGTTGGTGCAGTGAGCCATGGGTCAACTCGTGTCTACCCTAGGAAACTAAATTTAACCTGCAAATAAATCTTTATGACTCAATAAAATATTTTTTAAGACCATTTCTCGTTGTCATATTCATAGAATAATGGCACTATTCCTGCTGAAGTCTTTTGGATACAAGTCGATTCAGCAGAGACAGTGCACCAGCTAATAGGCTATTACAGTAGTCTATTCTAGACAGTATACAGAATGATTCTATTATAGTTCTGCGGTTAAAATTTGTCTAATAGATCCAGTATTTCTTATTAATAGGTAACACGTTTTGGATAAATAATTAATGTGAGTCTCCATTGATAAATAAAACTGGATCCAATACAGGTCGGAAATGTCTTCTCCAATGATGATAATACTTTGCGAGCTGTTTTGCAAATATGACTGGAACGGCTCTAATACGGTATCAGACAATCGATAATTCTTCAGGTTGTTCTGAGTCTAAATGAAGTTTCTTCAATAGCGGCTTTACTAGCATGTATTTTAACGTCAAACTGGAATGCACCAATTTCATTATTACTGGAAGCAGGATGTCTAGATTCTCGATGATCAACGGTTTTGGTGCAGGATCCAATGGACAGTATGTTGGTTTAGGATAGCTAACATTTCAGACGGTGTGGTGCTACTTCAGATAAACCAGTGTCACCGAATTCTGAATATTGCGAAACTGTTTGAGGATATTGGTAATTTTCTTTATAAAAATCTGATTCCCGAATATATGCAAGTACATGTACAGTTATTGCATTTTAAATGATCAATTAATCTGATTACGTAAATTAAAAAAAATAAAACCAAGTACGAACAATCCAAACCATTAGACAATATTCGACGTCCCCCCCCCCCCCCCCCAAAAAAAAGATATCGGCAAAATAGTGTTATCAGCAAATGGACTGTTCACCATGACGTACAAAATACATGATGTTCGTGGTAAAAGGTGTCCAGAATAGTAAGCTTACCCTATAGACCAGAGGTTCAGCGCGGGGAGGGTGGGGGTCCATAATCCACGAAGTAACACAACAAATTTATAAACCAATTTTTATCTGTTCTGCATTTATTTTCAAAGCAGTCATTTTTTTATTATAAACAATTTTTGTACATAATATTATATAATAATATACATTGTAATGAACATTAACTTGAATAATAATTGTTTACAATAAGTTCAAATATGGCAGGTTAGTCCTCACATAATCTTTAATATTGCTTGATAAACTTTATCACCATTATCTTTATATGTACAAAAGTTTCTTAAAATATAAAGATATATATATATATAGAAAAAGATAATGTAAAGTGAACTAAACTAACATGTAGTTACTTTCATGTTGTTATCATGACCCCTTCCCCAGTACAATTACGGGAAAAAAAAAGTTTTACTCTTATTTACAAATATTAGATTCAATCAAAATTCCACAGATCTCTACTCATGAGACAATCTCATTTCCAAAATAAGATTTATTCTCACAATTTGACAAATTCCAAAGAGAACTTTTTCCTGTATTAATGTTGACAAGCCATGATGAAAGTCAAAATGTCAACGGTATGCTAAGTAGGCAAAACGTATTCCAAATTTTATCGTCTGTAACTTATTCCCAATAAACAACCTCACCAAGTTTGAAAAAATATTTGTCTGAGAATTCTATCCTGTGCATGTATCTCCTGCACAAGAATCCATAAATTGAATAAGCCAACAGTGAGGCTGATGTCCCCCATCAAAATCCCAAAATAGATAGAGGACACATATTAAAGATACATTACTCAAGAGTTTCATCACTCTCCCTTAATTAAAACTAAAATTATTGTGTCCCAAAGCATCAACCAATCAAATTGCTTATCTCTACCTTACACTAAGCAGAAAATACTCATCTTCGAACTCCATCAAGTCATTAACCTAATGAACACCTACACCAAGTTGGAACATTCTAGTAAGCTCAATTAGAAGGAGAGTTATTGTGTCCCAATGGACAGACAGACAGACAGATCGATAGACAGACAGATGGACGAACCCATTTTAATAGTCCCCTGCTTTCTTCAAAAGGTGGAGGACAAATATAAAAGGGAGCACAAATTGCTTTCTAAAAATTAAATGTAGACGTATAAACACAAGTTTTGTTAGATTAAAGCAATATTCAACAGATCCACATTTTTTGGAATACCGGTAATTAACAAAATGTTCTTTTAAATATCCATATCTACTTAAGGTTTTATGAATGACTCTGATAGGTGTCAATTTCATGAAATGACATCATATTGAATGTCTTCTGGGATCATAGAAATATTAAGACTAATTGTTCTTTATCTAAAACCCTTAGTGTATTCAAATAAGTCATCAGTTGATCTGTTTCGACAAAACAGAAAAAAGCCATCAATCGAACTATTTTCAGCAAATTAGATACTATACTAAAATAAGAGACCAATTTTTGTTATAAATAACATATTTATTTTTTGCACAAAATGGGCCTCTATAACAATAATTTTCATGTATTAAGAAATAATCATGATCTAATTATACATTTAACTGAATATGATTTAAATTATCAGGATGATAAGCGCTTTAAATCTCATTTCTGATCCTGATAAGATAGAGACTGGTTTCTGTTATCACAAATATTTTATCATTGGTCGTGTGTAATCCCAATATTTGATCTGCTGTGTCAAGGGAGACAACTTGCTGCTTAGCAATAGAGTTCACTTGTTTTCCTGTTTTTCTGTTACGTAAGGGGGAGTTTATTGGAGAATGTCTGTGATACACATATATGTGTTTACTGCAGTCACAAATCACAGAGAATAAACAATTAGGAGAACAGGACGAATATTTCTTTTGCTGTTTAGAAGCTTGCACATATCCCAATGCGTTGAAGGAAACAATATGTTTCCATGGTGCTTTTCCTGCAGTCACATTATCATCTGGTTGCCATAGCAATCCATCCACATCATGACGTAAACAAATTGATGGCGGTTTATTGCTGTCTAACCTGGCACTGAATAGCCACTGCTCTGACAAATTTATCTGAATGAAGAAATAAAGAAAAACATCAAATAACAGATTGGCGGAATCGGTTTTTCATTCAACACACAATACTTTCATTGATTCTACTGGAATTGTACATTAAATACAAAAGAATTTGAGCTTGTATGGTTGGCTGGATGGTTAATTATCTAGCGTCCAGAATTATTCATATTTCATCCAAATGTATTTTAGTGGCAACATTCTCACCTCTAAGCTGACTTAAAGCTTAACTGCTTTAACAAAACTAATTCAGAATCTAATTGACCTGTGCTACGTACTTTGTACAACTAGTATGGGTTGAACTGGTTGACTGACAGTCGGCATACTTAGTTGGTCTTACATGGCCACCATATTTAATTTATTAGATAAGAAAGCAGATATTTTTTTTAAATTTGATTTTGATAGACAATTTGTAACTCAAGTCTAGCTTTAATAATCATTCTGGCCATTAAATTGGGAGGTGTACACTAAGCAGGTCTGGTTAACCTGGCTCACAACTAACCACACTCATTTGGTTCATCCACCTTGTCGACAACCTAGTTTGACCTTTTTCATGGGTGGGTGCTAAATTTTAATACCTGATGTGTAGTATGATGTGTTTCTCCATCAATACGTAATAACATCATCCCAATATCCACATCACAATCTTCTAACTCCTGGGCATTATAAGGTGTTTCTTCCCTATCTGGACATGGATTCTATAAAAAAAATAAATATAAACATTGTGGCATAAAATTAACATTAGTCTATGTTAATAAGTCGTTTTTTACTTTTTTGTCATTCGCATCTTCCAAAAATTTAAAAATCTTCAAAGATAATGAATTTATTTAGTCCCCAAAAACTGGTTATTCTAAAATACAGGAAAATATTAGATTGGAATTACATGGGTTTTTTGCTTTCTGATTAATAAATAAATCAAGGATTTATAACATTCAAGGTTAACTGAGTTTAATTTTAACTTCATGTACTAGATAATGAACTAACTTGCTGATCTGATGTCAGGGCCTCTAGTCTTTGATGTATAGCTTCAATTTGTTGGGGATCAAAGGTCTTCTCGCCTGACGTATCACCATTTACAACGACTGACCATGTCTTGGATTCTGTTTTACCAAGTGTCAACTCTAATCTGAATACCGGGTAACAAACATTCTATTTATTGAAACAATCTGAATTCTTGTCCTTGCACTAAAACATTTTTATGGGCTAGGGCTACTTTAAATTAACACAGAATGTACAGGTCAATGGGAAAGTAATATGGTTGTAAGTCTCATTCTCTCACACCAAGAAAATAAATGTAATTACTTTTTTCTATCCATCAACGCAGTGGATGCTTACGGCTGGCCCCCCGGATCCACTCACTTGATTTGATATTTGTTTATTTGGTGTAATGTCTATTTTCTTTCTTGTCCGCAGGTTTATCTTGTAGATTTTTGTTTTGCGTGTAGTGCGGTCCTCCTGCACTTACTATTAGGCTCTTTTAATTATTGTAAATCAAAGCTAAGAAATCTTTCACAAGCATTCACTAAATTTCTTGAAAACCACTAACAAATTTAAATGTATTGACGGATAAAGTGTGAATATCTTAGCAATGGCTTAGCAGATTCGTCTCAAAATTTGCATACAATCTACTATAGTCATATCATGTCAAATTGAAATTTATTTTTCTTAAATATGAGTTGAGACTAGTAATGTGCTAAAGCCTCTTTAATATGTCATCAAGACAATACTTTGATCATTTTTTTACATATCTGATTCTACTCAGTTCTTCAAATTCCCATTGCAAATTTATCTTTCAGATAAACTTATTACAAGAACGATTATAGAAAAATTATACATGTACTGTAAAACAAACACCAATTACTTATGAGTTCTGCTTTAGATAAAAAGTTTGGCTTACCGCTGTCCTTGTATTGTCCATGTACTGGCTTCTACATCAACTTGACAACATAAATCACCATTCAATAGCACACTACTGTTCTTTATACCAAACTCTATATGATCATATGTAAGTGTAAAATAGATATCAGCTTTACTTATACCTACAGGTACTGTAAATAGTACAGTTACATCTTCTTCTGTTTCACTCCATGTATACCTTGGTTCTTTACTAGCTATAATATACAATTATATAAAAACACTATTTACAACTGTATTAACATTATTAAAGGATGGGTCCACTGAAGGTTAAAATCATACGATGGGTATACACAGTATGCCTGACCCTTTTCACTTACAATACATGCCTATCTGTGCTCACTGAATAACAAAATAACACACTATGAGAATGAGTAGTTTAGATCTATTTTAGAGTTTAGTGTCAAAAAATAAATGATAGTCTCTGATGTTGTTTTAAGACAAAAGTACCATGTGTTAAAAGAGCTGATGGTCCTGGGCATATACAAATTTAAACTTATCGTTGATTTTATTTGAGGTGATCCGCTATATACAAAATAAGTCATAATCTGAAAAGTCATTACTGTGGATTGATATTCTATTCCATTGGTGTGTTGAAAATTTACTTGTGGTCTAATCACAGCTGATATTTTGACAAAGCCAGATTGGTTTCATATGTGAAAACTTTACATTCACTTTGACAATTTGTGAACAAAATTATTTATTGGATTATTTAATTGTGCAAGAAATTCAATCAGAGCTAATGGAAGGATTTAAAGGATTTAAAATTCTTTATTGCTCAGTTTCAAAGTACTTTGTGATCTTTGTTTGTAAAGAATATGACAAAGACTGTAATGCAATGCAGATCTAAAGAATCTATTTGAAACCAATATCATATTATCAATGTCTTACTTGCTCCAACCATTTCGTAATCATCATCATCTGTAGATGTTATTACTGGTTTAACAGAATCACTGGTTAATTTCATAACTTTATCACAAGCTAAAAAAACAGCTTTTCCTGATTTCTCTAATACAGCATAATCAAACAGTCTACCGCTTATATCTTTAATCTTTGTTTCAGGGCTGGCATCTTCAATACATCTACTTCTTTCTAAGATCCATACTTTCTGATCCACTGTGTAAGAATATACTCATTATATTTTAATCAAATATCATGTTAAAGGAGTAGGTAACACCAATAGTCAATAATATATATTGTATAGTCTTGGGGAAATTATTATTCAATAATGATAAAACACCAAAGTATTGGCGATATTATTATTCAATAATGATAAAGCATCAAAGTTTATTGTGACCCAAGCAATACATTACAATGTTTGATGTAACAACTTGAAAAAATAAGTTGGGTATACATTTGCTTAACATAAGATAATTTGTGTTTTGATTTTCATTGTTGATGTCAAATTAATAAAGGTTATACTTATACTAACAATAACCCCACATATTTTGAACATATTTTCAGATTCTTGATGCGGTGAGTCATTCTTACAACATTTGAGTAAAGATAGAAAACAGAGAAATATCCTTTAATGGGTATATCACATGAAATCCATCTAATGTGTAGAAAATACTGGTAGAAAAAGCAGATGCTGTAGTTATAAAGTTAAAGTATAAATACTGACCTGACGATAAACTGATCCAGTTAATCACAGGTGTAAACTGTGTTTTATATTTATCTTCATCTTCTGATATATCATCTATATGTATCAACAGGCATTCAATATGATGTGTTTCATTATCAGTATGATAAACACTATCGGATATGTGAAAATATGTTTCACTTCCCAATACATCTTTTCTGTAAAGCAACTAAAATAAAAAATTATATATGTTATTTCAATTATCTATATGTAGGTCTATTTGATTAAAGTTGTCTGGGAATTTGACAAATTAGTGACAATTTGTAGCTTATTCATTAGAAGTTTTACAATCCTTTCAATAATGCTTAGTTGTTACCATCGCTTCAAGAAAATTAAGCTGTAGTGTGTAGATACAGAATTCAGTCTTTGTGAATAGCTCAGAATTTATTACAATTGCTTCACTTTTAGGAATTAGTAACACAAAATAATTTCTGTTCAATTTATTTAATTACCTGCCAACTAGTGTTAGAGTCCCTATCATCTGTAGATAGCAGAATGAGATTGCCTGTTCCATCAGATAAAACTGCTAGATGAGATGATGGGAAAACAATAGACACATTAAATCTTCCTGGTACCAATCTTTGATTGGCAGAATCAGGAATAGAATAAACAACTGATCCATTGTCAATCTTAGCTTCCTGAAGAGAAAATATTAATAATTAATGATTTAAGATAAATTGATTAAAAGTAAAAAATCATTATAACACTGTTGTATTTATTTTCTCAACGACATTTAGATATCAAATTGCAGTATTGAATGATTTTTATTTTGTTCAAGAACATATTATAGGCCCCTACTGCTGATTACTATTAATGAGGTAGGTTATGTTTACTGAAATATTATCATAAAATTAATAAAGAAATAGATTTATTATAAATATTACAGGTATGCACAGTCCATGGTACATGATGTACATTGTATGTATATACTATCAATTCATGGTCAGTTGAATAATACTTACAGATTTAACAGTCACCCTTCGAACAGACCAATCAGTATCAACAAAATAGACCGTATCTGGATGCCATGGATCAGCTATCAGATGGTTATAACTTCCATAGAGTTTAGAATGCAAATAAGAAAATTGTTTTTCGTTTAATTTTGCAAAATCCACACCTGTAAGACATGAATTTGGAAAAAATTCCATAAAAAGTACAAGTACATACAACTTACTGATAATGTACATAAGAACGTATACAATATAAGGGGATTTTTTCAAATCATATTATTCCTACGCATGGGCAACTGCTAATTCTCTGAAATATGAAACAAGGGCCAAACATTGAAACAAGAACTTTCCAGAAAGTTTAAGCTAAATTTTTAACTACCTCTTTAATTAAATAACACACAGTTATTTGACTAATTAAAAAAATTAATAATGTTTACATGTAGTTAAAATATTCTGTATAACTGGTAACTTATCCAAGCATAGTCTAAATCCTACAAAATGTGGATCACCCAAATCCGGATGAATATTCAGTTTTAACATTCTTATAAAATAAAAATAATTATATTTTATAGCCAAATATTCCTATACGTTTAACCAGTTATATAAAATCATTTAATCTTCTGGTCTAAGACTGATTTTTTTTTTTTTTTTTTTTTTTTCATATATTTATTCAGTCGCAAACAATGAATCAAATAGCGTGTTTTAGCCAACGTGTTAGTGTTGACATCATCGTCAAACCCGTCAACGGGGCAAAAGACAATATGTATTGCTTTAATAAAGCACAAATAAATGTGCGCGCTTCACAATAGTAATGTACAAATCTACCTGTATTTAGTTGAGTAGAATATACTGGTAATGGTTCGAGTGAGAGTTTATAGCCGTCAAAATTTGGGTCGAGAATGTCTCTTGCAACGATTAAGTCAACTTTGGACGCCATTGTTGTTTTGAGGTTGCGTCCAAATTTTAAATATCAACAATTTAATCAAAGGCAAAATTTGAAATGCGTTTAATCATGCGAACTATTACGAATTTGATAAAAAAAAATTCTTGTTTATGAATGAAAAAATAAAGAAAAGAACCGCTATCCTTTCTTTTCAGCAAAAGGTCAATGTAGAATTTTGGAAACGCGGCTGGTAAATCCCGTCTATTTACGGAAATCGAAAGTTGGATTATTTACTTCCGCTTTAAAAGCAGTTTAAGGCACAACCCTCGGTGTTTTAACATTTGGTCAAAGGAATAATAAGACAGTAATTTAAATTACTAGAAGTTATTACATGTAAGTTATAACCATTCCCCTGAGGTTTGGCTATATCTCGAGTATTAGGCCAAGGTCTATAATTACTAATAGCCTAGTACTGTCACATTTATTACAATTTTTATATGTATGTAGGCCTAAAATTGTAGTAGTAGGCCTATATGTACCGGTATATTATTGTTTGTTATGTCAACACATTTGTTCTTGATTTTATGCATGCTTAATGTTATTAAAAGGGCAAAAAGTAAGAAAGTCCCAAGGCTTAATTTTCTACACTTTCCAAATAAAGAGATTATTATTATATCCAGACCACTCGGACCAAAGACTACTCGGACAAACCCAAATGACCACTAGAACTAGGACCAATTAATTTATATTGTAAGACTACTCGGACCAATATTTATGTTTGCTACTCGGACAAACCCAAAGACCACTTGGGGTTGGGGAGAGAGGGAGAAATGGGGTTTAACATCTACTCGACACAAACTAGGTCATTTTGGGGTTTAATTTTATTTCAATAATTCGCTTGCGCGTAAGGTTCTTTAGCAGTGGGCGGAAACCGGAGAACCCGGAGAAAGCCCACGCGGTTGGACAGGTGACCCAACTGCTTGTCACGTACAACCAGGGATTCGAAACCACGCCAATTGACTCAATGACAGGCCTTATGATACAGTGCGCATGTGCTAATCATTCGGCCATCCAACCACTCAGGGTTGGACCAATTAATTTATATTGTAAGACCACTCGGACCAATATTTATCTTATTCATTTTAAAAATAAACTACAGACAATAAATGTTATTAATTTATTATTTAATCACAAAGAGGTGAATAATTTACAGGTGAGTATACACATAAGTTAACAAGCTATGGATAAGTACATAACAGTAAATATTCATCTTTATTACATCAACAATTTAATAAACAATTTATCACACCAATTTTTCACATCAATAATTTATTACATCAATAATTACATCAACAATTTATTAAATATTTTTTTTTTTTTAAGTTTTTAATATGCCGTGACATATGCCCTTCTTTATTGGCCCAGTCTGATCAAAACAATATAACCTAGTCGCTTGGCCAATATATTGAACCGCATTTCTTCAGGAGCTGGTTGGTGCTGATGGCCTCTTCGTTATATAATTTCCACAATGTAAACAGCTTTCCTTGTATTGATCTTGTCTGTCGCACTTGATATCTTTTCAACTTCCCTTCTGACACCATTTTTATAAGCCCACATGGAAATGTGGTCGTATATTGCCGTCGCCCCGTCGGTCGGTCCATCCGTCCATCCATCGTCCACAATTTCTTGTAAATGCCAAAAGTTATCATCCAATTGTTTTAAAATTGATATATGTTGTTTACATTAGTGAGATGAAAAAGCCTATTTAATTTCAATAATTTTCGTTTATAACATCTAAAGTTATGGCCCTTGTTTCACTTTGTTAAAACTTGTGAATGCTCTAATGCCAAACGTTAACATCCGATCTTTGTGAAATTTATATGCAATATTTAAATTAGGGAAACTAAGAAGCCTATCGAATTTCAGCAATTTCCGTTTATTACTTCTAGAGTTATTGCCCTTGTTTAACCTTGTGAATGTTCTAACCCCAAAAGTTATCATCCTATCTTTCTGAAATTTATATGCATTATTTAAATTAGTGAAACGAAGAATCCTATTGAATTTCAGCAATTTCTGTGTATTACGTCTCGAGTTATGGCCTTTGTTTCACTTTATTGAACCTTGTGAACGCTCCAATGCAATGCCAAAAGTTAACATTGGATCTTTGTGAAATTTATATGCAATATTTAAATTAGCGAAACGAAGAAGCCTATTGAATTTCAGCAGTTTCCGTTTATTACTTCTAGAGTTATGGCCCTTGTTTCACTTTGTTGAACGTTGTGAACGCTCTAATGCCAAAAGTTAACATCCGATCTTTGTGAAATTTATATGCAATATTTAAATTAGGGAAACGAAGAAGCCTATCGAATTTCAGCAATTTCCGTTTATTACTTCGAGAGCTATGGCCCTTGTTTCACTTTGTGAACGCTCTAACCCCAAAAGTTATCATCCTATCTTTCTGAAATTTATATGCATTATTTAAATTAGTGAAACGAAAAAGCCTGTCAAATATTAACAATTTCTTTAGATTACTTCCAGAGTTGAGACCCTTGTATCAATTTGTAGAACCTTGTGAACCCTCAAACGGCAAAAATTATAATCTGATCTGTATGGAACTGTCTTGTAAAGGCCCCCGATTACCTACAAAGGAATAAATATGCGAAAACCCTTGTCGACCGCTCGGACGATTTCGCCGCTGTGGGCGTATGTTTCGTTGCCTGGCAACCTATCTTTATCTGAGCTGGCAACTGACTGGCCTCCTTGTGCAACAGGGTTAACAACAAATAAAATTGTAGATTTCCCTTCTTTGCCTTCTGGATTATACAATTGATGCTGGATGGTTAGTAGGCCAAACACACACCACGATGAAATTGGCCACATGGTATTCGTTATCCAGCTGTTGTTTTTGTAATCCAACACCGATGTAATCTGGTCGTTGTCGGCCTATTCTCTCAATTTCTCAAAAGTTGGTAAGATGTGCTCTGATGGCAGAAAAGGCAACGCAAGGACCTTTGTGAAGAATTTGTAGACAGAGTCTCGTTGATTGCAGGCAGCCTATACAAAAAAATATAAAGAGCAATATAATAACTGATAGTAATACAGCAATATAAAAACTATTATAGTAATAGAAAAATACATCAATTACAAGTTATAATTTTTAATTTAATACTCATTAAATAACATGCCTGAAGACCCTTTTCTTGTACTTTGATCTTCTTTGGTGTACTTCATTATGATCAAATACCACAGGTACATGTACATGTAAGTACATAACACTAAAATTTTTCCTATTAAAACAAACACAATTTATTAAAACAAACACAATTATCAATTTATGAAAACAACATTTAATTATTGGTCCGAGTAGTCATATTAAAACAAACACAATTATCAGTTTATTAAAACAACACTTTATTATTGGTCCGATTAGTCATATTATCTACATTATTAAACCACTTGGTCTAAGTAGTCTTTTCGTTTGGTCTGAGTAGTCTTTTTGTTTGGTCCAAGTTGTCTATCAATTGGTTCGAGTGGTCTTGGTCCGAGTGGTCTTTGGTCCGAGTGGTCATGGATTCTTACTGGCTACCCTATCTATGATACTCAAGAATTGGAAAACAAAGTTCTACTTCTCAGATTGGTAATAATACCTGATATGATCCTGGCACTGTGGTAGCTTTTTGAGTGTAGTCCAAAAATATTTGACTCTTAATTCCTTACCTGTTTTATGGCTATTTTTAAGGCAAACAGCTAAGTGAGTTGGGAGAGTTAGATTAGAATGATAAAGTTTGGTTTATTTATCAAACAGACTGTTGGTCCATTATTGGAATAGCTCCTGGCAATGTCACAAATGTCCTGGATTGGATAAATTCGTTCATTCGATTGTCAAGTAGGTCTACCATTATACGATAATAAAGAAATTCTTGATTATCCATTCTTACACACCCACATGGAAATGTGAGAAACTTCCAATCAATAGAAACAGATAACACAAACCAATTACTAATGGTTTGATGGGATCAATTTTGACTAAGTCAAAATGATGCATTTGATATTCAGATAAGTTGATATACAATAATTAATAGAATACAATATCAAAAAACCATCGCATTATCCAACGTTTCGTCAGTAAAATTACTAACTTCTTCAGGGATGAAAAACTAAATACAAAATGACTGGAAGTCAGTTATGACATCATGGGAAGTTATTGATTTTCAGCAATTTCCGTTAATTACGCCTCGAGTCATGGCCCTTGTTTCACTTTGTTGAACCATGTGAAAGCGCCAAAGACAAATGTTATCATCCAATCGGTAAGACATTTTATATGCATCATTTAAATTAGTGAAACGAAGAATCCTATTGAATTTCAGCAATTTCCATCAAATACTTCTAGAGTTATGGCTCTTGTTTCACTTTGTTGCATCCGATAAAAAAAGTTGCTCTAAAGACAAAAATTATCATCTGATCTGTACGACATTTATATCCATAATTTAAATTAGTGAAACGAAGAATCCTATTGAATTTCAGCAATTTCCATCAAGTACTTCTAGAGTTATGGCCCTTGTTTTACTTTGTTGAACCTTGTGAATGCTCTAACAAAAGTTGTCATCAGATCTGTATGAAATTTATATACATCATTTAAATTAGGGATGCAATTTCTGTTAATTACTTATAGAGTTATGACCCTTGTTTCACTTTGATAGACCGTGTAGAAGCTCGGATGACAAAAGTTATCATCCGATCTGTATGAAATTTATATACATCATTTAAAGTAGTGAAACAATGAAGCCAATTGAATTTCAGCTATTTCTGTTAAAATTACTTCTAGAGTTCTGGCCGTTATTTCACTTCGTGGACTTTGTGATTGCTTCAAAGTTATCAATCGATCTGTATAAAATTTATATGCATTGTGCATCATTTGTATTAGTAAAACGAAAACGCCTGTCAAATTTCTGCAATTTCTGTAAATTACTTCCAGAGTTAAGAAACCTTTGTTTCAAATTGTAGAACCCTGGGAACCCTCAAACAACGAAAATTATGGTCTGTATGGAATTGTCTTGTAAATGCCACCCATTACCTACAAAGGAATAAATATGTGACAACTCTAGTCGACTGCCCAGGCAATTTAGCTGCTGTGGGCGTATATTTTGTTGCCTGGCAACCTATTTTTAAAACATAATTCATTAGTTTGCAATCAATTTTCAAATCATTGAAAATCGTGAACATCCAATGGTCTAGAATTATGGCTTGTCTTCTGAATAAATGTCTAATTAATAAAATTTATAGCATAATTTGATGCAATAGACAGATTAAGCTCTAATATAATGCATCTTTAATTAAGGTGATTTTGGCCCTAGATATACATGTAAAGAAGTTTAACTCAATTAAACCTTTGGTCAATAATTTCAGTGTGCAATTAGTGTGAAAATTCTCAAAAATCATAAGACGAAGAAGCCTAGTGATTTTGTTATGGCCATTGATCACTTTGAAATATCTCGTGGACGCTCTAGACACTAAAGTTAATATCCGATTGACTTAAAAATTATACAGTGTTTAGGTCATGAGATGAAGAAGCCTGTCAATTTTCAGCGAGTTCCAATAATTATGCAAATTAATATTATATGTTTTGTATGCTAAATGTTAGAATAAGACAGAGCCAGAAAACAAATGGGTTGTTACACTCAGTCAATCAGATTTTAGTGTGTTGTAAATGTTTTCATTTCTGACAAAATAAAAAAAATATGCGACAACACTTGGTGACTCCCCGGGCGAATTAGCTGCAGTGGGTGTATGTTTCGTTGCCTGGCAACCCATCTTTCAATAAACTCTTGAATCGCAATAAGGTTGCTACCTCTTTAACATCTGATAGAAATTTATTGCACAATGATGCTGAGTTATACTGGAAGGATCATTGTCCAAATAATATTTATTTAGCTTTTGAGACAAACTAAGTTTTGGTTAGCCGATTGTACTGTCTACTGATCGACAAGGATGATATTTTGAAACAAATTCTGATAAATAATATGGTGCAGTTTGATGAAAACACTGATAAGTGAGTGAGGGGATTTTGAATTTCACACAAGCCTCCCCTGGGAGCCAGTATTATCAAATACTATATCAAATAAAGAATGGTATATTTGCATTCTTCATGCCCCATGCTCTGCGGAAAATCAGTGATTCTAAAATAAGACATTTTGTATGCAACCTTGAAGGGAAAATATCATTTTGGCATTTAATATACATTTAGTGTTGTAAATTGCTATTATTGAGTTATCAACCAATAATATGATGTGAACACCGCTATATAGTCACTATAGGTCAGTCAGTTCACAGGAAATTAGTAGGTTAGTGTCAAATCCAGGCAGTTACCTACTTGGATTAAGGAATTTTGATCGAGTGTTAGTTAAACTCCTCAAAAAGTACCCGAACAAACCCTGTGTAATCATAAGTCAGCAATGGATTGAGGATAGAATATATAATGTATTGTAAATTGGATCATCAAATCATGTGAAAACCAAACAAATTCATTTGTAGATAGGCCAGTTCCTCTTTAAATAAGATTGTGTATGAGATTTAAGATAGATCTTCAATCCATGGATGAGGTTTAGTAGTTTTGAGATTTGATTTACAAGTGGTAATATCAGTTTACATAATAATATAGGATCTACAACAGCTCAGTCAGTAGAAAGCTGGCTCACTAACCAGGAAATGAAATGAAATGAAATGGAGTTTAACGTCCTACTGTTCTCCTACTCTTATATCGAATTCCAACTGCCAAGGGATCTTTTACGTGCACGCCAATGTAAACACGGGACCTCAGATTTTCGTCCCATCCGAACGACTAGACAGCTGTCCTTGTCAGGCCCTCCATCCTGCATCACTGACAAGGGAAAACCACGCCGGAAAATCTGGTAGAACTTTCTTGGCCGATGCTCACTAACCAGGAGGTTCTGTGTTTGATCCTGGTGTTGGTCGGGAAAGTTCAGTTGGTACCGAAGAATAGGATGTTAAGCCCCACTTCATATCATTTTAGCTTACACATATACATGTACAGGTACCAGTAGAGTTTTTTTATACGCCCACATTTTCATGTGGACCGTAACTTCATGGATTATGGCCCCTGATTGTACGAAAAATCACGTTTTTGGCTTGTGAACTCTGTAGAGGTCACAATTTTTATCCGATTTTGTTGAAACTTGAAATGTAAGTTTATAACCCAAAGATCTCGGTTCCTTTCGATATTCGCGCATATCGGACCGTAACTTCCTGAATTATGGCACCTGATTGTACGTAAAAACGCGTTTTTTGGCTTGTGGACCATATAGAGGTCATAATTTTTATCCGATTTAAAAAAACATGTTAAAATATCACCGTTACACCCTAAGGACGGCTGAGTTCAAATTTCGTGAAAATCGGCCCAAAACTGACAGACAAAATGGCCGCCGTTCGTTCTCAAATAGCGTAAAAATATCGTATATCAAGGTTGTGGACCCTATAGAGGTCACAATTTTTATCCGATTTTGTTGAAACTTGAAATGTAAGTTTATAACCCAAAGATCTCGGTTTCTTTCGATATTCGCGCATATCGGACCGTAACTTCCTGAATTATTGCCCCTGATTGTACGAAAAATCACGTTTTTAGCTTGTGGACCCTATAGAGGTCATAATTATTATCCGATTTAAAAAATCATATTATTATATCACCGTTACACCCTAAGGACGACTGAGTTCGAATTTCGTGAAAATCGGCCAAAAACTGACTGATAAAATGGCCGCCCTTCGTTCTCAAATAGCGTAAAAATATTGTATATCAGAGGTGACAATTTTTATCCGATTTTGTTGAAACTTGAAATGTAAGTTTATAACCCAAAGATCTTGGTTCCTTTCGATATTCGCGCATATCGGACCGTAACTTACTGAATTATGGCCCCTGATTGTACGGAAAATCGCTTTTTTAGCTTGTGGACCCTATAGAGGTCATAATTTTTATCCGATTTAAAAAACCGTATTATTATATCACCGTTACACCCTAAGGACGACTGACAGACAAAATGGCCGCCCCTCGTTCTCAAATTGCGTAAAAATATGGTATATCAAGGTTGTGGACCCTATAGAGATCACAATTTTTATCCGATTTTGTTGAAACTTGAAATGTAAGTTTATAACTCAAAGATCTTGGTTCCTTTCGATATTTGCGCATATAGAATTGTAATTTCCTGAATTATGGCCCTTGATTGTAGGAAAAATCACTTTCGTTTTAGCTTGTTTTCTATCCATCTCTCGAAAATGTGGGCGTATCCTGTCTGGCAGCCGCTGGTTGTGTAATTTGGTCATTTCAAGAGGACTGCACCACACACAATATATAACTGTGCTGGCCGTACGAAAGAAATCTTTTTAAGACTGGTGATTGGATTTTCATTAGTTGAGTGCAATAACATGTTAAAGTAATGATCTGGTTTTTTTTCTTGTAGAAAGTAATAATACTTCTTTGATTTAGAATGCATTTTATTTCAGTTATTTTGGTGAAAACTTGTGAAGTGGCATAATAGATGAAGATCATGAACAGGGTAAGTTACAGTAAGAAGAGAAGAAGACCTGCCATACATACAAATAAAAGGATGGGGGGAGTCAATTTTGCCTAGCAGTCTTGGTAAGGGATCTCAGCTCTCGACTAGATGTCATGGTTTTGAATCCTGGCATGGAATAAGAATAACCTCAGGGTTATTCATGCTTAATTCTCAATGGCTGCTCATGCTGTTGTTGAATATCCTTTTATGGTTGTAATCCAATAAAGAGTATATGAAAATGTCATGGGGCAAATTGTTTTTATCACTGAAGATGTAATCATAGAAAAAAAACGACATATGTTTGTCTGAAAATGACAAAATAAATGTGTTGACATGACATAACACCTAGTTCAACTTCTTACAATGTAAGACGACTTCGCCTTTCTAAAACAAATAACGTTTATTTGGATGTTTCCTACCTATTTGGTGACTCCGCATATGTTTAGTGTCTTCATTAGCTAATTGGTACAGAAAAGAAAAGAGATTCCTCATTTCATATCAGTTGGTAATTGTGAATGTAATGATAAATATGTAATGTTGTTTAATGAAGATAATTTATTCTCTTTATAGAATTTAGATGAAGATGCTGTACCAGCTGAAGAGGGGGTTGTCAGAGGAGCAAGTTTAACATACACGAGTAAGATAATTCTACAAGTTATTAAAACATGGCTCTAATATTGGTCATATTTACCAATTCCTGAGTTTATGCAAATGAAATTGACTATGAAGTCTGTGTGAAGGACTTCATGAAATAAATTTTAGCACTATGAGCAACTACACATTTCCATGTGGGCGTATAAAAATTAATGAGGAAAAGTATCAGGTAAACCCCATTTTATTTCATTTCTGACCAAGAGTAACAACCCATGAAGTTATTATCAGAAAAAATGTGTAGTTGCTCATAGTGCTAAAATTTATTGCTGTTGCCTCCGTCCATCTGACGGTCTGTTGTTCTGTCGTCCACACTTTCTTGTGAACACTCTACAGACTATATTTATGATCTGATTGTTTTGAAATTGATATATGTTGTTTACATTACTGAAATGAAGAAGCCTATTAATTTCAATAATTTCTGTTAATTTCTTCTAGAGTTATGGCTCTTGTTTCACTTTATTTCACCTTGTGAACGCTCTAATGACAAAACTTATCATCCGATCTGTGTAAAATGTATATGTATCCTTTAAATTAGTAAAACGAAGAAGTCTATTGAATTTCAGCCATTGCTGTTAATTACTTTTAGAGTCATGGCCTGTGTTTCACTTTGTCAAACCCTGTGAACTCTCTAATGACAAAAGTTATCATCCGATTTGTATGAATTTTATGTGCATTATTTAAATCAGTGCAATAGAGACTTTGATTAAAGGAGCTAAATCGCAAACATTCTGATCCTAGAAATTGACCCAAATGTGTTGCAACACATATAAGAATGTAATATGAACGTATTATAAACTGATTTACATTGAATCGTTTCTGTTTTTACTGTAATTTCTAGTCAGTTGTGTTCAGCGAAATACGCTAGAAGTCTGGTTATTCAGTCTATACAGATAGTATTTATTGCGCATGCTCTCCAGATAAGAATATGGCGTCACCGTTTGACATGACTGGAATATGTCTAGACTCATTCAAGTCCCTTGTTACAAAAGGCGCTGACATGCATTATGGTACACGAATCGTGTACCAATGGATGGTACAATGTTTATTTTGTCTTAAATATTGGACATCAGAAGCCCATCTTTTCCTGGTAAGATCACAACATCAGTGTTGATTTAGATTGACAAATAATTTGAGTTTTCATTGTCGAAGATTTTGGATGATTCTGAGTTAAAGACTTTTTAAGTTATGATCTTTCTGGAATTTACATTGGAAGTCAATCATATTGAAAGAAAGAACTGTATTGATTGATTTGTGGTTGTATCTTTCTGTCACCCATGTCCATTCTTCACAACTTAGCTGCTAATGGGTGTATGTTTCATTGCCTGACAACCTATATTTTATTATAGCACCGGAAGGAGCCAGATATAACATCAACACAGGTACACCTCATATTGCTGGAAATGTACAAATAGGTACTGGTATGGTAATGAATATTAAATCTAATCAATCAACACTGCCTAATATTAAGGCAAAAAAGCCATTATCAAGTAAGTTCAAATTATTATCACTACAAGATTTTGATGAAAGGGGCAATTACTCTACAAAAAAATAAAAGTGTGACTCAATTTTGGTATTGTTTCTCCTCATTATTATGAATTTTCAAATAGTTGCTTGATTCTGAATTGGGTGATTACTTCACAAAGAAATAAACTGTGACTCAATTTTAATATTGTCCCTCTTTATTATTTTGATTTTTCAAATGGTTGTTCGATAAAAAAAACCTCATAATCACTGACCTGTCGAGTGGTTACTTACAAAAATTTTTGATAGACAGTCCAGGGTTACAACAATATACTCTCACATGAAATGTGGGTGTATAATAATAAATATCAGAAACCCAGATCTATAATTGTTTAAAAATTTCAAACAATGTTTTTATAGCACAAAAATATTTAGGCCCCTTGGCCACTTGTTTTAAAGTATGTATACATATGAGAAATACAGATCAAATAGGATTGATTAGTTTTAAAAAGATTTAATGGTAATATGTGTTACCAAGATATACAATAATCCATTTCTTTGCATTGTAGTTGCATTTATTTTTATTTGATTTCATTTATTTCATTTCACAGCAAGAATGGACATTGTACCACAAAAATTGTTAGATGATATAGCTCAAGATATTAAAACCAAAGATGCTGAAAGACTTGGAAAATACCTTGGATTAACCGAAGCTAAAATAGACGAGATTGACCAAAATTATAAGAGAGATGGAGCAAGAGAGATTAAATATCAAATATTAGCGGAATGGAAAAGGAAAGATGAAAGCCCAACGATAAAAAAAATAGCTAAAGGACTCAGTACCATTGGTAGAGGAGATATAGCAGATAAAGTTCCACATTGATTCTAGAATTAAATTTAAATGGGAAGTCCAGTCATTGCTGTTCTCTATATTTTATTATTATCTAGTATTGAGATAGTTTCAACCATACTCTACAAAAAGTTTCAAATCATACTCTACAAATAGTTTCAATCATACTCAACAAATAGTTTCAAACATACTCTACAAATAGTTTCAAACATACCATACAAATAGTTTTTGTCTTTAATAAATGTGCCAGCTGTGTAACTTTCATTTCCATTGTAAACAAAGCAACGCACATGCTATATTAGCCTTCATTCCAGTGACTTCATTTGTGTATTCACCCAGTCACTATAATGAGTGCATGGTTCGGTTTATTCCCAGATAAGATCACAGCCAACATCTCAGTTTGTTAATTAAAGGCAAAATGAAATTTTGTGGAAATAATTTTAACAGATAATGAAAAAGTATAAAGAATTTACAACTACTGGAATTCTTCTTTAATGTGATGTGAATCTGACTTTTTATTGTGATAAAGGACTGAAGAGTACTGTATTTTTTGGTAAAGAAAACAAACCAATATGACTGGTGACATTGTTATTAATGATAGTGTTATTTTAAAGGATCTGGAACAGATAACTGGAGATGAATTTTTACAATGTTTTGTATTCAGTTCATACTTAGCCTTTCAAATGGCAAAGTAAATGTTTTTTTCTTCATGTTAATTTTCTGTGAAGTAAGGAGGGTTATTGAAAATGATTAATGTTACTAGTAAGAAGTCTACCTGAACAAATGTCTTTAGAGCAGGGAACTTAATTGACTGTTTATTGTCAGATATATCTGTTTGATGTTTGAAACTGCTGATTGAAAAAACAATGAACTAGCCACTATCTTATTGTAAATCAATCTACGTACAATACGGTTGGGTGATATACCGGTATTTCGGTATATTGTGATCGGACTTACTTAGAAAATATCGAAAAACCGGTATACTGTGACAACCAAAATTATCGCGATGATAATTATCGTGTCCCAATATAGATGATAATTGGCAATGCAAGAGGTCACAACTGATACAAGGACTCGTAATCGAGGAACACTATGGTCAAGGTTGGACAGTATTTACCCCGGTTACTTACTGTCACTGTCTTGTTTATCGTAATATTTGATAAATTTTTATCACAATATTTTTTTTCCATTATTGCCCAACCCTGACATGCAGCTTGATAAAACTTTTAATTAAGAAGTCAATCGATATGTCAGCTGTAGTCTATACTCCTTAACAGTTATACCTTAGCGAGAATTGACACATTGTTTATAATCCACGAGTTGGGTGGCCGAATGGATTAATGCGTGCAAGTTAAATGGTAATGTCTGTCATTGAGTTAAGGGGTGTGGTTTCGATTCTTTGCTTGTAAAATTGAATAATATGTTAGTTCCGAAATGACATAGTTTGTATCACGTGGACATAAAACCCCCTGTCATTCATTTCTGTTCATAATCCAAGTAATTAGCCCATTTATCAGTAATTTTGATAATCATGTAAAAATAGATATTTTATTTCCACGACAAAGAATTTATCTTGTCTCCTGTTTGCAGTGGCGGCGCCCCCCCAATAATTTTAGAAAATAAAAAAAAGTATTTGTGATACGTTTTGGTAATCAATACCGTCTACGGTGAATAAATCCCACATCCCCACTCAGTCATAAACTTGCATGTTGTAGAGCATTTCCAACAGTCTATTTTTCAAAATTTTCTTGGCGAGGTCCCCAATGGACTCGCTACTTTGGCGCTCACAAGGGGAATTCGTTGAGGTTCGCATGTCCGTTCGTTTGACATTTTGTTCTCTAGTCGGATAAACTAGTGATCAGGCGACAAACGGTATCTGGGCAGATCTATTTATCTCGACGATCGGTGCCTGACAGAATACCGTAAGACAGCATTTGCGGCAGTCTATTTTTCAATATTTTCTGGGGGAGGACTCCCTACTTTGACGCTCGTGAGTGGGCTTCGTCCTGATTCGCAAGTCCGTTCGTTTGACACTTTACCTCATCGATCAGTGCCTGAAATACTGCCAGGCTGCATTTTCGGCAACCTGTTTTTCAAAATTTTCTGGGGGAGGCACCCTACCCCTAGTTGAAGCTCGTGCCTTTGCCCCCTTAAAGTAGCTAAGTCTTTAACTCAATATCATCAAAAATCTTCGACATTGAAAACACCATTTATTTGTCGCTTTAAATCAACATTGATGTTGTGATCTTACCGGGAAAAGATAACCTTCTGATATCCAATATTTAAGACAAAATAAACATTTTACATTGTACCATAATGTGTTTCAGCCCTATTTGTAATAAGGGACTCGAAAAACGTGGCTAGGCATATTCCACAAGTCATGTCAAACGGTGACGCTATATTCTTATCTGGAGAGCATGCCCAATAAATACTATCGGCGTAGACTGGGAAAACCAGACGCTAGAGATTGACATTCGATTGAGAATACTGACGTATTTCGCCGAACCTAACTGATTAGAAATTACAGTAAAAACAGAAACGATTGAATGTAAATCAATTTATATGCATTCATATTACATTATTGTATGCGTTGCGACCCATTTGTGTCATTTTCTAGGTCCCAAATATTAGCGACTTGGCTCCTTTAACCCTGGCCATTGCCCCAGCTTTGCCCCTCCAATCACCGACGGCTGGCGCCGCCACTGCCTGTTTGTTACTTTAAGACAGTGAGATAGATATGGGATTTAACTTTACATCAACACAAACTAGGTCATTTTGGGACTGACATGGATATTTTATGACGGCAGTTCGCTTGAAACATTGGAAGAAAAGCAGAAATCTGGAGCGAAACCCATGACTCAACTTACAGGGAAGAAACTAACATCATACCTCATCATGATCTTTACACGTGCCTTAGACTGCTTGTGACACCCCATCCTTGTTAGATCAAAAGAACCTTTCATTCGGGATGGACGGGGAAGTTGTCTAGTGGCTGTGTTGCTCATTAGAAGATCTATCATCCATGCAAGATGTTGATCAATTGAGTGGATGTTAAACCCAATTTCCTTGCTTTCCTCCTTCAAAATTATTACGTCTCAGGCTCAATAGCAGAAATCATCTTACAATGTTTGAATGTTTTTTCATTTCAACAGGCTTAGATGAAGCAACAAGATGTGTTCCAGTCCACACTTTCACTGTTTTCGATCTGAACTAACTCCTCTAACTACTCCTGTAAAACTGTTTATTAAAAGTTTATTTTTGAGTTAGCCAATTTATTTTTGCAATCATTGTTAATCAACCACTGTTCTCTGTAATTTGCGAAATGAGAACAACTTCTGATATGATAGACTATCACCAACTTTCTTGTGGACGCTCTAGAGGCTAAAATTATCATCCAATTCACAGTGTTTAAGGTCATGAGACAGAATCAGCCTATTGATTTTCAGCAATTACCAATAATTACAGCCAGAAAGACAGAATTTTTATTAACCCACCCTGAAGTGGTCCAAATCGTTGGTCCATGGAAGCTCTAGAGGCTTAAGTTCTCTTTCAAGTGCCTTTATGCACATAGGGGGTTGGATGGCCGAATGGTTAGCACGTGCGTGCTGTGTCATAAAGCCTGTCATTGAGTCAACAGGCGGGGTTTCGAATCCATGCTTGTACGTGACAAGGAGTAGGGTTGCCTGTCCAACCTCGTGGGTTTTCTCCGGGTCCCTCGGTTTCCTCCCACTGCTAACGACCCCTACGCGCAATCGAATTATTGAAATAAAATTAAACCATATGTTAGTCCCGAAATGACCTAGTTTGTGGCGAGTGGACGTTAAACCCCATTTCTCTCTCTCTTGCCTTTATGCACAATGTTTATTTTCATGAGTTGAGGAGGTCTAGAATTACTTTCAGAGTTATTGTCCTTGATCAATTATCAAATCACGCTCTTGTGGCTAAATTATTTTCCGATTGATTTGAAATTAAAGGGTTGTATGGCTCAGAGTAATTGCCATTGATCAATTATTAAATCACGCTCTAGTGGCTAAATTATTTTCCGATTGATTTGAAATTAAAGAGTTGTATGGCTCTATTGTTTGGAACCTTAAAATACATGAAAATGGGTCTAAAAGCACATATTAATGTACTATGAATGTATTATAAGGTGATCTGTATTCGATTTTTAAAAATATTATTGTAATTTCTAATCAATTATGTGTGAACAGTCCAAATTGAACAACAGTCATTTAGGCCCACAAAGTCCATTCTACACATTCTTTAAAATTATTATTTTGCCATTTGTGAATCAACCATTACTATTAAATTTGCACGGTCTTGTAGGATATGTTTTTCTTTGTTCATTACAAATGGTGCCCGATATCTTTGAATACACGGAGCCACGGTGGCTAGGTGGGTAAGGGGCTGACTCGGTAGCCTGGAGGTCGGGTGTTCGATCCCTGCATTGGCCAAGAAAGTTCATCCCGATTTTCCGACGTGGTTTCCCCTTGTCAGTGATGCAGGACGGAGGGCCTGACAAGGACAGCTGTCTAGTCCTTCGGATGAGACGAAAAACCGAGGTCCCGTGTAAACATTGGAATGCACGTAAAAGATCCCTTGGCAGTTGGAATTCGATATAAGATTAGGCGATAGTGCCGCTGCCCGGGCAAAATTTCCCTCATAGCACACTGTATAGCGTATGCCCGTCTTCATTAGCCCAGTATAGGAGCAGAACAGTAGGACGTTAAACCACATTTCATTTCATTTTCTTTGAATACACTACTCATGTACTGATTACACAATGTTCATTGTGTCTTAAATATTGGATATTAGGAGCCCATATTTTCACATATGTCACATCCCTTATGGGATATGATTCATAGTATAATGCTTGTTTTGTAATATTGATCCAGTCATTCGGAATTGTATTGTTATAAATGGGTAAATAATTTTATTGTATACACTGATGGTTAAGCTGTAAAATAATGTTTGTCAATGATACAATTACATCTCTATTTATTTTAATATAGATGTTGCTTTATTTAACACCATGAATAGAAATCATGACATTGATTTGAAGAAATTAACTCTTTTTTTAAAGAAAAAGAATGTTTGTTTTTATACGCCCACATTTTCATGTGGACGTATATTGTTGTCGCCCCGACTTTGATGAAAGTTGAAATACATATTTATAACCCAATTATTCGCGCATATCGGATCTTAACTTCCAGAATTATGGCCCCTGAATGTTCGAAAAATCGCCATTTTAGCTTGTGGTTAATCTTGAAGTAAAAGGGAATCACGTGGCTAAGTGGGTAAGACGCTAGCTCGCTAGCCTGGAGGTCGGGTGTTCGATCCCTGCATTGGCCGAGAAAGTTCATCCAGATTTTCCGGCGTGGTTCTCCCTTGTCAGTGATGCAGGACGGAGGGCCTGAGAAGGAAAGCTGTCTAGTCGTTCGGATGGGATGAAAAACCGAGGTCCCGTGTACACTTTGGCGTGCACGTAAAAGATCCCTTGGCAGTTTGAATTCGATATAAGAGTAGGCCGTAGTGCCGCTGTCCGGGCAAAATTTCCCTCATAGCACACTGTATGGCGTATGCCCGTCTTCATTAGCCCAGGTTAGGAGCAGAACAGTAGGACGTTAAACCCCATTTCATTTCATTTTTTTTCTTGAAGTAAAAAGTTTTATCTGACTTTTAAAAAAAACTGTTTGAATATATTACCGTCACCGTTGTTGAGTTTGAATTTCGTGAAAATCGGCCCAAAACTGCCGGACAAAATGGCCGCCCCTCGTTCGCAAATAATGTAAATATATGCATGGGTGTCACACATGGAGGATCCAATTGTTTTTCGGGGGGGGGGGGGGGGGGGTCTGAATATACTTGGGTCCACCCTCCCAAAAAAATTTTTTTACATAGTAGGCCCAAACTTCTATTTATTTACAACAATTATGGCCAGCCAGCAACGTAACCATAATGCTTTTGCACGCGGTGTCTTGGTTGACAGCATGGCCACATGGTGTTTGTTTATACTTTTTAGGGGTTTTAAAAATGGGTTAGGTTAGGGGTTAGGGTTGCGGACCCCCCAATATATATTTCATGGCTACGCCTCTGAATATATGGTATATCAAGGTTGTGGGCCCTCCAGAGGCCACAGTTTTAATCCGATTTTGATGAAACTTGAAATACGTGTTTATAAGATCCTGGTTTCTGTCGATATTCGCGCATATCGGATGGTAACTTGCTGAATTATGGCCCTTGATTGTACGAAAAATCGCTTCTTTTTTGAGCTTGTTCTCTGTCCATCTCTTGCAAAATGTGGGCGGATCTTGCATGGCAACCGCTTGTTTTTTCAAGAATCATTAGGGTAACTCTAAAGCAAATTATTAACTTACCCAGTTTGCTAAGGTGATGCTACTGTAGAACTGTCGACATTTACTCTTGACAGTCTTTAAATGTGGCCGAGGTTTGGCATCAGTGAGCTGATGTGTCAACAAAATCTGGCTTGAAATTTTGCATCGGAGGTATAATTTTTTACACTTATTGTTCTAAATATGGCCCATTCCTAATCGTGTTTTATTCGGCCGATGCCACTAGTATTCATTTCAATAGAAGTCTTGGTGTGTATCTTCTTTTGTACAGCTGTATTTATTGGGAATAAGTCTTGAGTTCTGGGGTGGAAAATTCCACGGGGTTCCCCGTTTAACCCAAATACTACCACATTTTTTAAAAAAAAAATTTCATAGAGAACTACAAGCTTTAAAAATCAACCATAGCCGGAAAATGAAACCGTCAAAACAGGTCCGCAATTTACGACCTGAAAGATTAGTTTCCCCCCACTAATACACCTTTGAACAACCCCACGAAGTTCTAAATTGGTAATTTCAATAGGATTCTTACTTACAACCAAATGAACAAACCGCATTAATTTTCTAGATGTCTTTACCAACGGAGCTGACGAAGTGGTAGATTCAGGTGGAGGCCCTTCAATTATCCCGCGTTCGCCACTGCATCAAGGCGGGCATACACCCTTCACTGTCTTATGAGCAGAATTTTGACCGGGCAGCTCCTTTTCCGTCTACTCTAATCGAATTCCAAATGTCTTTTACGCAGCATGTATATACAGGACCCAAGCTTTTCGTCCCATCCGGAAAACCAATGGCCAATCTGATTAAAATACAGTTTCGTTTCTTTTTTTATATACTTTCGATGCCCTTAGCCTACACTACGTGAAGATTTGACCGGTTGTTTTTGAAGGTCGCGTCGGGGGTCGTACGAGCGGCTTTTGACCCTATGAAGTCAGACATTGATTAATCAATCAGTGTTGACGTTTCTAGTGGTTTACCCACAGTTCCGTGCATTGCACGCCAAGAACTTGCCGTAACAGACTGTTTTATAGCCTAATCCCTCACTTCAACCAGAACCCCGGTAATATAACAACTCTTCCAGATCCTAGTGTAGTAAAGACAAGTAAAACGAAATTTTGAACTACAAAAAACGAAACGAAATAGGATCTGTGTTTTAATCAGATTGACCAATGGCGGTTCATGCCAGGCCTTCCATACTGTGCCACTGACCATGAGAAGTCACACAGGAAAAAAAACCAGGGACTTTCTCCGCCAAAACTGGGATGGGTGAGTAAATTAAAATAACATTATCTGATTTTATTTATTGCTGTAATGGTATGTTTCTCTTACATCTTTATTAACATATTAAACCAATATTAAATAACGGGCTTTATAAAAATGAAAAAAAAAATTAATTTATTCATTTCAATAAAATTATGCAAAATCTTCTACAATTTAATGTAAAGTATATAGGAAATCATATATAGTACAGGGTGTATTATGAGGACGTCGCTAAAGGAAAGCGTTTAGATTTTGTTTATTAATGTCCGTTACAAATGTAGCATTATAAGTGTATTTACATGTATAACAAAGTGCATGATCAGGGAAGGGCGTGTTTTGCATCACAACTTTATATTTGATATTGGGTGTACTTAGTTAGGTTGAAAGGTCAAAAGTGCAAGTCCCTATCATTCTAAATTAAAAACTTTGGGTTTTTTTGTGATTTCACTAGTGTTTTGCAATTTCGATTATTTATGGTAAAACTACACTTATGTCCTCGACAGTCGCCATCCCAACACTACTATTGGTGGAAGAACTGGTCCAAACGACTAGATATTTGATACAAAATCCATGATATCTTTCTAGACAATCTACAAATCTGAACATACCCACCAATATGTATTACGATGCTAGACGATGGATGGGCAAGAACAGGCGTTAATGCACTTGCTAATAATAACGAACTTGTTTAATTTATTGTAGGCTTATTAGGGCATTTAAGTCTATAATTTTTGTTCCTGGTCATTTCGAATAACATACTTTAAAGAGTCAAACCGATTGACCTAATTATGCTGGGGGGAACATATCTTTAAAAGAAGTTGTAACATAGATTATAAAACACCTTGTACAATCATGTACTTAGCATACAGTAACCTGGCACACTATAGCTAATTTATTCAAATGGAACTTATTGTTACATATAAACGAAATTTAAAACAAAAATAATTAAATGACCAAGGCCCTTGAAAAAATGAATAAAATTTTGTCAGTTGAGGAAAAGTTGAAAGCTGTATGGCCTAATGACATTAAGGAATATCTCGGTAATCTTCTAAGTTAAAATACTTCCTTATAGTTAGCTAACCCAGCAATATATTATCCAATAAGAACTCATTGTGAAGCAAACATCTGCCTCGTGTACTAATAGCCAATCTAGTAGGCCTACAGTCTAGACTATATTAGCAACTATCAGTCAGGGATAAGCATAGCACTGGGAAATAAATAGCTTCTCTCAATTTCCAAACATTGTTATCATGGAACCTTATATCAAAGTCAGTTATCTAAGCGAGATGCCTTTACGATGCAGTAAGAAGACTCGAGTTATACATATTTTCACTTAAATTTAAGGTATTCAAATGGATTGAGAATGATCGTGTAATAAATGTATTTATAATAATGTAAACTATTTAGGCTCGACGATTTCTATTAGGCCAACACCACAAACATCAGATATTTGTTTACAGTGGAAGTTAACTATGATTTCTACTCTTCCTACAAACTTTCCTGTCATCTTAATTGTCTCCCGTAATTCTTCACCTGGGGCTATACTTTTTCTAAAAAGAAAACATATAAACATAAAACTATAGCGCATGTTAAGAAAATAACATTTATAAGGCAATAACAGAATGCTTCTTTTAATATGTAATATATAAGTTCATTCTATCTTACCCGAAAGGTTATAGGACCATCTAATTAAAAGATATTTAATCATGCTGATCATGGGAGTTTAAATTTGATCCTCTACATTGTGTTACTGACACTAATATAAATCTATCCATATTACGAAGCTCGCGTAATATTGATGTCTTGTACTGAAAGCATCTGCAAAAGCCTTTTTATGGTTGAAGCAATAGAAACAACCAATAATCCAAACGAGATGGCATACAACCACCTGCTCTCAAACTGTTTTTTTTTCATAGAATGTTGCGAAGAAATACTGAATGGTTCTTGAAGCCAGTTCTGAAAACACCACCCATCCCCAATTAGACTAAATTTAATTTTATGCAGAAATACAGAAACAAAATTAAAAAGTCAAAAACGTATAAATAGCAAAGGACACCACATCAGAATGCAAAAGAATACCGAATACTGCTCCGGAAGCAAAAGGGGACAGACAACACGAGGGAGAATATTCACTGAAGGCCTATTCATAGACACTACAAATTATCAGTTAATAAAAAATCTCCTTTGTGCCGGGGGGATAAAAAGATTTAACATCATAGCATCTCAATTCATAACAATCTCCTATAGGTCTATTGCCCGCCCTGAAGCCAAACAAATGTCGAATTTGGACACGACTCAAATAGCATAAAGATAACCAGTGTTAGCTAACGATAGTGTAGTGAGGGAGAAGCCAAGATGTAACGGGAAAAACCCGCCCAACAAATGAACAAATGTTCTATTCGGCTATTGACTTACTTTGTTTTGACACCTGTAATTCTTGATATACCAGGACCTTCCGCGTTAATAACACCATTAATTAAAGGTACACCTAGAGTGTTTACAATCTTTACAACTATATCAAACGGTTTGCCTTTCTCAGCATTACCTTCCGTCTACAACAGAACAAACAAAATTTGATGAAATTTAATCAAATGGAATGCGGTGGATTTGGCAAGTATTTTCATAACATATTCTTTTATCAGGAAAAGTCTGTGTCAGCATATTAATAAGAACCTCGCTATCCAAAAGTCGATATTTATCGTCACAATCATCGTCGATTACTGTATCCCAGCATCGCGTATATTCATTAATGTGCGAGATGGGATATATATATATATATATATATATATATATATATATATATATAACGCCCATTATTCTGCTAGAAATGATGACCCGGTCATGCAATGTGGAAAGAAAATGCCATAGTGACAGATACTATACATATGGCTACGAGACTTCATCAGCTCTACACAATGCCAAATTAAACAAAGAAAAACACACAGAGGGTTCCAGACCTCACAAAATGAAGTGAAATGGGGCTTAGCAACCTACTTTTCGGCACCAACCGGGATAATGAAGGCGGTTAAACGCCGTGCCGTGTGCTATGAGAGAAATTTTGCCCAGACAGTGGCGATACGGCCTACTATTATTTCGAATTCCAACTGTCATGGGTTTGTTTACGTGCGCGCCCACGTGTATATTGGGCACCGCCCATCCGAACGACTAGACATTGTTCCTTGCCAGGTCTTCTATCCTGCACCTCTGAAAAGAGGAGACCACGTTAGAAAATCCCGGGGAACTTTCTCGACCCCCGGTTTAGTGAACCTACGAGCCACCTTAGGCGCCATCTTACAGAAGCTTTAGTTGAAGGAAATAGGCCACTACCTTAACATCTAGTGTTGGTTTCTCTAACCAGAAGGATTCTCTGGCTGCAAAACGTTGTCCAGTTTCCCGCACCTTTGCCGTAGCATAAACATTTACATGAGCATCACCATCTTGAGTATTGATAAATTCACTACATTTTAATAACAACGAACAATCACCCTCTAAAATAAATAAATAAATATAAACCAAAATATCAAAACACAGCTTGTCAGGTAAAGACATGTAAAGAACTGTTTTTCAGAATCGAATAATACGCACGATTATGGGCAGTCGTAGGATCCAATCTGCCAACCACTTGGCTTTATATAGGGATCTTGTGTGTGTGTGTGTGTGTCTTACTGATGTTTGTGTGTCTGTTTACAAATTGTAGCTCATGTTTCTGTATTACTGTATGTTGTGTTTCTCCATTCAGTGCTACAGATAACCGACAGTTTATGTGAAAATCCATGATATGTCTAAATGTATTTTCAGAGACGACGGTTCGTTAAAGAACGACACCAAGATTTAAACACAGTGTTATATTTTTTGTGTGGTTATTATATGTGTACAGTGTCCGAAAGAAACTTGCAAGGTTAGTGGTGTCTCAGTTATTTGGTCCATCTGGAGATGCAACTTCCGAAGTTGTTCTCGAGCAATATCGAAGACCCTTTATTCGACCCATTCTCGCACCGGTCGGTTTCATATCCTATCCTAGAGATAGATAGATAAATAGATAGAATGAGATTGAAATCTCGTTTCGTTTATTTTGTTCTGATTTTTACACTACATCGTAAAGGGGAAAACGAGCGATATTGACATCTGGATAGGAGTATACTCTACTGCGTAACTGAATTGGAACATAATGTGGAACTTACCAGCAGAAGGTTCAGTAACAATAGTATTAACAGTTTCTTTTAAATCTGCACATGGTACACCAGTATAGAAAGCCGTTACCATACCAATACAAACATCCACAACACGACCAGCACTGCTGTCATTCTTAAACTTTAATGTCACATTTAAATCGCCAGATTTTTGAGTATCGCCCTGGAATCGGAATTCCATATCATCTTTACTAAAAGGTGTAATAGCAGGATCACATCTAAATGTCGTCCTGGAAGCCCTTTCTAATACTTTCTTGGCATCGGAAGAATCTGAAAACAACAAACCAACATGATGTCATTAAAGAACATAAGTAAGCTTCATCATTCATTGAAGTCACCACCTGTAATTTATTCCAAATGTGGACGGAGCCGCGTGGCTGCTCAATGAGTAAGAGGTGGGATCGCTAACGATAATCATTGGTTTCTGTGGCCTAATAAAAAGGGAAAAATCAATACCAGGTTGGGGAGGTGGCAACCGGAGTTCCCTGATGTATTTTGCCACAATTTTTGTAGACACCCAATCTTTGTTGACACCAATCATATATAATTGCGTGCCATATTATGTCTTTGTCCATTGGTCGTATCTTTACCCAAAATTAAAGACCGTATAAAAACGTACCATCCTTGTATTTATAGTCTGAAGTTATATCTTCTCTAGATATTGTACCAGCTGCCTTAGTACTAATACATCTACCACCAATATGTTTATCCATCTGAAACGCCACCATGTTTCCCTCACGATCAACTTCCCAGTTAATTCTATCAGCATTAACCTCGGCAAAGAGAAACTTAGCCTCGTATCCTAAATACAGTTCTCCTTCTTTAATAGCTTTAACTGATGCCGGACCACAGGTAAATACACCTTTATAATAGAAACAATATAAAATGTTATTTATTTTAAGTCAGACAATAATGAAACTAACGTTTCCTGATTTCTTGAGAAAGGTCTTCTAAACCATGAAATAGTTTAATGTCTTTAAAATTCTTTAAAGGATGTTCTTTTCAACCCTTAAATGGAGGTTCAAAATCCTGCAACAGCTTCTGCAAACAATTTAAAATCAAACATACAGTAAATTATATTTTCTTAAATTGTAATTGATGGTGAGAAGAATGCAGAAATAAAAACAAGTACCTTCGTTACATTCTTGAGGTGTTGGATCAAAAGCTTGCCATCCGTCATGACCACTTGGTAAATCGGGACGTTTAAACCATGATTCGTTCCATACATGATAATCCCTGAAATAATGTTTAAAATCGACTGTGGTACGTGGTCATTTGGAGTAAAACACTGGTCTCGCAACCAGAATATCTCTGGGTCTAGATCCTGGTAAAGTAATAGTGGGAATGTCTGTTGCTTTCTCCAGATAGTTAGCTATACTGAGTCGTCATTGAGAGCTCTTAGCGTGGGCTAATTTTACCGTTTCAAACTAATATTGTACAAAAAGCATAAATAATTTAAATGACCTTAAAGACGCTAATCGTCATTTGTATTCTATTCGGACAAGATCTAATTTTTCACGAATCTATCTAGAATGTACTCAGATTGATTACTAAATATTTAATTAAGAAAACACAATCAAAATACCAACGATAGATAATCTCCTGGCTTGAATTCAATCGGACTGATATGAAACCCATCAAAACATTTCAGCGAAATTTTTAGGCGGTTCTGATTTGTTTTGACCATATCCCGTTAATATCGGCTGCGGTGAATGCCAAATGTTGACAAAAATTTAATGCATCAGACATTTGGACTGATATTCCTTACAGAGAATAAACTTTCATTCTTACCATAAACCATCGTCCATGTTTGTTTTGGGTTTATTTTCTGAAGACCAATGTGAATCTAAAGCACTACTAAAATCACTGTCATGGGCTGATTTAAAACATGTCACACATCTTGTTGGTATTCCTAAAGCCCGTAGCACTGAAATACATTAAACAATATAATACGGAATTTTTTCCATAATGTAAATAACAAGAAAGACACAAAGGAAAGTTTCAAACGATTTGAGAAAATCTGATTTGAAATAATGAAATATAAACACCTTAATCTATCAGTTAACAGACATAACTATACTATTTCATATTCACAATCAAGAGAAGATAAAATGAAATTTAACCAGTATATTGCAACATTATTTTATTGTGTAGTTTGTTACTTACATGTTGTTGCAACAGCAGAAAAATTCCAACATTGACCAAATTTAACTCCCTTTCTTTTCTTAAGATATTCTTCTAGAATGACAGAACTACCATTCCATGTATAGGGTGCTACACCGTCATCATATTTACCCGACCAATTACCAGTCATTACACCAGCATCTCGTTCATTGGCTGTAATCTGAAAATCATAAGTTTATTCATTACATGGATTGGATAATCGGTCATTATTATTCATATTTAAATATTTGGCACAAAGTATTCCATATTCCTGAAAACAATTTGATAAGATCGGTAAGAATTTCTAATTTGACAGATCCACCACAACCAGGGGCGGATCTAGGAATTTTGAAAAGGGGGGGGGCGCCGCAAAATGAGGGCACTAACCGCGGAGACGCGGCACGCCGCTGAGAGGGGGGGGGGGGGTCCCCCAAGAAAATTATCCGTTGAAAAGTAGCCTTAAAATCGAGTAAAAAAGCCAGTTGATCACGCGACTCGAAAATTGTCAAGGCTAGCAAGGCATTATGATGGGAAAAAAGACGAATAGCCACTTCACTATTTCAGCCTTGTAACTTGTACTGTCCACACATGAAACAATGCTACATCAAGTTGCACTAATGCGCTCGGTGATGGGCATGAGTGTATAGTAGTATATGCCGCCGATTCCACAAGATGCTATCATTGATGTCTGTCTATAGTCACTCTATAGGATTAGGGCACCGTCAGCTAAACAACAAGAATTTGGGTCTGAGAAAGGGCACTTTCAGCAGTAAAAAGCCCCCCCCCCCCCTTGGATCCGCCTCTGACAACTCTTTTCTGTCTGTAGCTCATGTAATAAGTATAGGTATAATATTACTTATAGTGCTACTGTATTAATAAGTAGGATTACTTACACTTACAGCTTCATTGTATTAGTAAGTATAGGATAACTTACACTTTTAGCACCCCTGTATTGGATTACTTACACTTACAGCTTTATTGTATTAATAAGTATAGCATTACTTACACGTATAGCTTTGTTGTATTACTAAGTATAGGATTACTTAGACTTATAGCTCCCCTGTATTAATAAGTATAGGATTACTTACACTTTTGCCTATAGCTCTAGTTATAAGTATAGGATTACTTCTAGCAGCATCACCAAGTTCAGATTTGTCTAATAATGCCAAAGCTGCTACCAGACACACTTCATCAAACTATAAATAGAAAACATCAAGTAATATCGTTCTATTCAACAGACATAGTTCTCATAAACATGTTCTGAATTGTGATTTATAGACCAAAATTTAATTACGTATTTAAAGGGGAAAATTATTTCAAAGTATATTTGGAAATATTTCAATTTTGGAATATTCAGATGTGCTTCATATCCTTACTAAAAGCATATTCCCGAAGCAATAGCCCGAGAAATTCCTCTCTGCCCATAGCTGGATTGGCTTCTGATAGTTGAGCTTTTGAGGGAGTGTGTCTATTCTCCCCGTTCAATTAAAACTATCCCAAGTACAGCAACATGACAGCCCTTCGTTTAATCTGGGGTCTTCCCTAAAACTTTGGACGGTGATTTAAGGTATTAAAAACGGTGAAAGTCTTGTCCGTCTACATAGAGTGGGCATAAAATCGTGAGTCATGACATAACGTTATGTAAACATATTTGGTGAGAGGGAGAGAGAGAGAGAGAGAGAGAAATGGGGTTTAACGTCCACTCGACACAAACTAGGTCATTTCAGGACTAACAATATGGTTTAATTTTATTTCAATAATTCGCTTGCGCGTAGGGGTCTTTAGCAGTGGGAAGAAACCGGGGGACCCGGAGAAAACCCACGAGGCTGGACAGGCGACCCTACTCCTTGTCACGTACAACCGGGGATTCGAAACCACGCCAGTTGACTCAATGGCAGGCTTTATGATACAGCGCGCACGTGCTAACCATTCAGCCATCCAACCCCCCTAAACATATTTGATCAAATGCGAGGGGTGTGTATTAAAGGAAAATATGCAAAGATTGTTACATTAATAATCTCCAAAAATTTCAACTAAGAAAATGACGAGGAAAAGATAAGATCAATATACATATATATTTTTTTTTTGTAGAACAAAAATGAATAAGTCTGTCTAAATATCTAAATACAATAACCAACTCATTTTCTGGTATTCCTGATATATTGCATTCATATAGAATTTAGAACTATAAATGTTCTAATTGTTCTAATAAATAACAGTTATAATGTATGCAGAGCCGACATTTAAGTTTACGTTATTTTAGGACCAACCCTGCTGTTTAACATTTGGATACAATAAAATGTGTTTAAAATAAACAAACCTGTGCAAAGTTCCATGGTCGTACGCAATATTTACCAGCTGAACCTAACCAGATTCTTCCAGTAGGATTTAATACGTATTCTTGTCTCTTAACTTCATCATCAATAAATACTAAATCATCTATTAGAGAAATAAAATATAATTCATAGATTACAGCACCGTGGGTATTTGTCATTTTATTGCTTTGAACCCGGTTCTATTTAAACTGAAATGCTACACAAATCTATTAAATAAAAATATTAGATAATATGCTACGGGATGTATTCAAAATGAATTAAATGGGTGGCTATGAAATGATGCTTCTTGTTATTTATTATCTCGGTGATTAAAATACCAGATGCATATGATGTAATGTCTCGTCAGTAAAACCCTACAGGTAAACTTACCGATAATATTTAATTTCCATGATTAGGTCTAATGTGCAAATTGACGGGAGGCGGTTTCCACTTTAGTTCTTTCACATGTAGATGGGAGAACTGAGTTTAATGCCCGCTCGTCACTCGAGACTTACCAGATCATTTCGGGATCAATCTGATGGTATATGTTTTTACTTCCATAATTCGCTTGTGCCCAGTGGCTTTTATAGGTGGGAGGAAACATGAATTCCAGGAGAAAACCCAGGAAGTAAGGGAAGCGATCCTTCTGGAACCCATGGCTTGCATCGATAACAATTCATATAAATTATAGCGCACGTGTTAGTCCCACCCCAAAGATTGTAGACTGGAGTTATGATCAATGAAAATGAATGTATAACAGCATCCTGTTATTAATTTGTATACTTGCCTTTACACCAGGGATTAAATAGTATATAAATATCATCAGGATGTTTATATCGATATTTCTCTGGTCCATCCTTCTGTCTTTTATGAACTGTATCAATAAACAATTGATATCTTCCCATTATGGCACTGGCACTCGATCGTATTCTCAGTGTGACGTACTTTCCGTTATCTAGTACCATCTTATAACCCCAGCCATTAGGATCAATCGTTTCGTTACCAACTACTGGAATGACTGTACCTTTACTTTGTTGTGGTCTAGCACCTATTATATACATTTAATTTATCATTTATAGGCAATAGAGGGATAACTTTAGGTTCAAGAGCGTCCACAAGATATTTCAAAGTGATCAGTGCCAATAGCTCTGGCAGGAATTATCGGAAATCCTTTAAAATCAATAGGTTTCATGACCTCAGGGTATTGACTTTAGCCTCGCAAGCGTCCACTAGCAATAGTGGACGACGCGCCTACGGATGGACGGACGAGCCGACTGACGGATGATGGAGGGTGGGGGTGTCGGTGATGGGGGTATGGACGTATAAAATACTTGTTGACAAGTCAAATGCGAACACCCCGTCAAACAAGTTCAAAGAGGTTGCTGTATTGAACAGGGCCTTGTTTCTCGAAATCTTAACTAAAGACAAAATCCAAATTTTAGTAGATACTTCAATTTTGATTGGCTAAGCACTAAAATCAATCTAATATTATCCAATCAAATTACTAAAATTTCGTGACACAGGCCCCTAATTAAAAGAAGCGATAATAGTCATTCATTCACTTTCACCTGTATCGTATGTAGCAAACAGAGCTTCATTCAATACTCTAGAATGGGTTTTTGGGATTGGTAGCGATAATTATACTTCACGATTCTGTTTTGTTTGCGTTTTTGTAATTGCACTCACCAGTAACAAATTTCAGCATAATTTCATCTTCAGATTTCAGATAATTTCTTTCAAAATGTATGGTGATATCAAACTCTTGGCCTCGTCGTACAATTAGGTTTGGTAGTGTATAATCAGATGTATGATGAGCTTCCCTGTTGGAGACACGGACGAGGTCCACCGATTTTGGTTTCAATTCACCTTCTGTAATATCATATAACAAGTCGTCAAAAATGTGCGATTACTAGAATACCGATATTTGATCTTTAACAGATAATCAGAGATTAAGAGCCAGTTGCAACATCGTTATTAATTCACAGAAACAATTATGACCAATATCTAGGTAAATAGTTTACTATTATGTTACATTCATCGTTTCCAAACTCATTTTCTTTATTTAATTGGCAACCATAACAAGGAATGCTATTCAAGACGATATATGTAACGGACCACACGCTGTTATAATACATCGTTTTAAAATTCAGTTCTTTAATTAGTTGAGAACCAAATAAATATGTTGAGAGATAATCAGGGAATGTTATTCCAGACAATTTATGTAATGGAATTTAAATTTTAGAATTAGTAGGAATGTGTAACAGTTAATACGATCGCAGACTGATTAATAAACACACATTAATCTACCTTGTATAAGAAAATACATTAAGCAAATATAGTAATGGGTTGTCATGGAAACACAGGAAATTAAAATACAAACTTTATGGTTTCAGAAACCATATAAATTGCATGAATCTAAGATAAACACTTTGAAAATAAACAATAACTATGTCATGACCGGAAGAAGAAATCAACTGGTCGTGATTACAAAAAAAAGATAGGTTGCCAGGCAACGAAACATACGCCCACAGCAGCTAAATCGTCCGGGCAGTCAACAAGTGTTGTCGCCTATATTTTTACTTCTTTCAGTAATGAAACATTTATAATACACTAATCATTAGAATTTGTTTGGTTTTTATAAAGTTCTGCCCCATCCTAACGTTTAGTATACAAAACTTTTAATATCTTGGATTTAGCTGTTCAAGTCATAAAAATTCATTGAAAATCAATATTCTTGTTCGTCTCAAGCTCTTAAACTCTGTGTATCAATCTGGCAGTAATTATCGGAAATCGCTGAAAACCAATAGGCGTCTTCGTCTCATGACCTTAAACAGTGTGTATAAATTTAAAGTCAATCGGATATTAACTTTGGCCTTTAGAGCGTCCACAAGATTTTTTGAAGTGATCAAGGGCCATAACTCTGGCAGTAATTATCGAAAATCGCTGAAATTGAATAGTTGTCTTTGTCTCATGACCTTAAACACTGTGTATAAATTTAAAGTCAATCGGATATTAACTTTAGCCTCTAGAGCGTCCACAAGATTTTTTGAAGTGATCAAGGGCCATAACTCTGGCAGTAATTATCGGAAATCGCTGAAAATCAATAGGCTTCTTCATTTCATGGCCTTAAACACTGTATATAAATTTAAAGTCAATCGGATATTAACTTTAGCCTCTAGAGCGTCCACAAGCAATTGTGGACGCCGGACCGACGGACGGACGGACGGACGGACGGGGGCGACGACAATATACGACCACATTTCAATGTGGGCGTATAAAAACGATTGTGATTTTCATGCCAATTTTAGCATTCATACAAGAATTTGTCCAACACTCACTTCAGCTACTGCACATACAGTGAACAGTGTGGTGAGATTTCAGGTCAGGCATATCTATAGTAATAAGACCGCTTTTATGGAATTTAATAAGAATTAAAACCAATATATCGAACCTTCCTTCTTTTCTTTAAAGGCTGTTAGTGTTGCTTCATCTGTAAAAATGTTGCCTTCTGCGACAGCACCACCATGTTTTCTCCCTTTTAGATTGGAACCCAGTAGAGCTGATCGAAGATTTCCATAAGCAGAGGAAAACCTCTCTGACATAGTCGGCCTGAAATAAAGATAGTTTTTTTCTAAAAAAAAAATTTCTTATTGAGAATAGAAGAAATCAGAAGGGCGATTCCTTAAGTTTGGTGATGTTCTTCAAAATATTCTGAAATGCCATCGTCTATGATTTTAATGATACTGTTCGATGCGCTATTTTAAAACAGCATAAATACAATCCCATAAAACAGAAGTTCTAATAATAACGTTTTTATTTATTTATCTGATTTTATTTATGTCGTGTATGGTGGTTTAGAATACAAAGGTCCGCAATGGGAATTCCAAGATTCCAATATGAGGTGCAGGAAATATCATCTACGTAATTAACAGCATGGAACGATATATCAGAATTAAACGAGCAATACATTTGAATTTTCGTCAGCTGTTGTAAGTATAAATCACGACTGTAAGTGCATGATATCGTAAGGGAAACAGCTAACAACTAATACCTGTCTCATCAAACTCAGGAACAAACAAACATTTGTATTTGAGTTCTTAGGGTGTCTGATTTACTTTTGAACATTTCGGTTCTGAAAACAGCACGATTACGTTCTGATTTAGGAGAGCCGTGTTGATGTTTCTTTTAAGTATCTTACTAAGTTTTGGAAGCAATGTACCCCTAAGATTGAACCTATAGTTGCTGTTACAGCCTGATGTGTTCGTATAGCTATATCTTGTTCTTTTCTTACACCTCTGCTGGGATTTGATAGCTATCTCTAGTTGGGCTGTGAAAGCTATAGATTGCTGGGATATAATAGATATTATCTTTCTGGATTCTAATAGCTATTGTCTTGTTGGGCCCTGACAGCTATATCTTCTATGAGTCTGGTAGCTACAGCCTGTGGGGTTCACATAGCTATTATCTTATTGGGGTCTGAAAGCTACACCCTGTTGGGTTGAAATAGCTATTATCTTACAGGTATATGGTTAGATAGGCTTATCTTGTTGGGCTTTGATAGAGTGGTGGTTGGACACAACTATCTTGTTTGGTTCTAAAATAGATTTTTAAAAAAAGATCAATGTAATAATTGTTAAAGTTAGCCCGTATCGGCCGTATGCCCTTGCGATAATAAGCGCCATTATATTGGAGTATGTCTGCCTATTCCAGAACCAGTTGTGTTACCAGTTCATGAAATGTCTGATAATCTGACTGGTGCTTTTCGGTTCCCAGTTCGACAACACATATTCAGATCCAGAGCGAGCCGGGGGGGGGGGGGGCTCTGCGCAGACTCCATTAAATAGGGGTCCGGGTCCCGAAATTGCCGGAAACGGCATCTACTGCGCGTTCCATTTTTCCAATTTTGCAGCCTCGAAAGTGCTCTTCGCCTTAGATTCAGGCAATAGGAAGAAAGAACACTGCATGACAATAACATGTCCTCAATCGAGGTTTTGTGAACGTATGAAACTACAAAAATGTTCTAGTGATGCGCAATTTGTAACTTTGGCAGCCTTGACGTTAAGCATATGGAAAAATAGAAATAAGCTTAAACGATGTCAGCAAGATCACAAAGCTGTATCTTTTCATCGAAAAAGCTTTCTTAATTCATTGCCAAGATTATTCCAGACGACGACTTTCTTTTGCGTTTCAGTACATATCAAACTTTTAATCCCAATCTAATAATGTCAGTGTCTAATAAGAGAATCATTATTCAGCGCGAAGATAAACATTCATGCACTTGAAGTTTACGATTCCAGATAAGAAACAAACAACTGGTTTATTTAAATTTCTGAAATGTAATGATGCTGATACGTCGGAGATCTGTACAGACTATTCATTTATATTAGTACAAAAAATAATATAAACCTCTTTCGATTTTAACTAGGCGCCATCATCTTAAACTAAACATTTAATTACACCCTTTAATAACGATATAATGATATACATCTACCATGCAAACCAGCCTCATTTAAACACGCTTTCGCCATTTACTAAATGGTCCTGATAACATAATTATATCATAAAATTACCCATATATTACCTACCGTTTACCGGTTTCAACATATAGGAGGAATGAATACGATTAAGAGGGAAATATCACTTTAAAGGAGCTAACCTGTATTTTTTTGGAACTTAAAAATGGACGAAAATTGTTATTTGTAATCAGTTATAATGTTCGGCAAAATATGGGAAATCCAAATTGAATGACAGCATTATGGATAAATATTGAGGTAGAGGTTTACCTACTTTAAAAAAAAGTGATGAAAAGTAGGATGTTAAACGACATTCATTTGATCTCAATTCACTTTAAACAAGAAAGTGAATTTAATTAATTTTATTTACCATACTCAAAATATGGTAGAAGCTTCTGTTATACGGTATACACAGCCTCGGTATGTTACATAGATACGTGTGTACATTATGCATTGGTGTTATTTAGCTGTTCAGAATAACATGTCTAACTTGGAAATATCTTAATATCATCCTTGACACATTTATAGACTAGCATGCAGTAAAGGTTTTTGTTGTGGTAAAACTGTTTTTATCTCATTGTTGACTTCCTGTATAATTACTAACAACTGATTTATACACGGCTGCCAAACTGGAGGTATAAGTGTTTAGGTTATTTGCTTCCTGCCAGAATGAATAAGGTAGCAGAGGTATAATGGTTGAATGTCAGTTTAGTAGATATAATATAAACTAACAAGAATAGCTAACAGATGTTAATAGTTTGTTGGTTTAAACAGCTTGTTGTCTATCTCCAGGCTACAGATCTATATGAACTATAAGAACTCTGTATAAATCAAATCTATTTATTCTGGAGTGTACGTGATTACACGTCTTGCAGAAAACTTAAATGTAATCTAACAGACATACTGGATCCTGGAACTACTGATGTTTTAACATCCGCTTATAGACAGGGTCACGCCCCCACCCCCACCCCTGCATCTGAAAAAAATGTCGCTTTTGTGATTGCAGTTTTTGTCACCAGTTAGAAATATCTCCTTGAAAACAAAACATATTAAACTGGTGCATATTAAAACCAATATTCCTGTGGTAGCAAAAATATTGATGTCACGTAAGAGTTATCGCCTCTCGTGTACAGGGGGTTTAAACAGAACACCAGGAGGGGTACTGGAAGTAATCTGTTAAAATTACACTTACGAATATTTAGAAGTTTTATAGTCATTGCTCGCTGTACGTGATTACTTCAGACAATTACGTATAAACAGTTTGTGAACCGCTGTGAAGGCATACATATTTACTGGCTTAACAACATATTTTACATTTGTACTAAACACTTATATGTTCTGACATGTTCTCACCTGGAGGCATGAACTATTTCATCATCTAATACAGAAACAGCTTATATAGTTTACAATAGGTAAAGTTAGAATCAGAGATACCATCTCAATGCCATCTCATTTCTAATTCCTACAAATATAATCTGCAACATTCATATCTTAATGTACGCTCGGTAAAGTTCTGTCCATGCCTTGTACTCAGTTTCAAAAATCAGGCAGTGTGCATGCACTTTCATCTTCTAAAACACCCGGAAATATAGACCCAGGCAATACATATTAGAAAGTGGTGTTACTAAAAGTCATATTGGTCCACAAATTATTAAAATCGATCAATCTAAAGTTCATATTACTTTCGAAACGCCCTCATATTAACAAGAATTGGCCGTCAATCACCGAAAGAACACCCGCAAACAACGAGGTCAAGATGCTAACTAACTTAGATTTAAAAAAACCAAAAACAAGTCACAATTACTATGTAAAGAACATTTACCCAGAAATCCGCCCCCCCCCCACCACCACCACCACCACCATTTTGAAAAATGTACCATAACCTTATCGCATTGCGTCTTTATTTAACATTGCCGTATTTGGTTTGTTATCGGTAAGAATAGGTCGTTTTTTCTTCATACAAAAGATCGTTCCTAAAAAAAAGCACAAAATAATATAGGTAACGTAATTTCTTTGTTATAAAGGTGGAACCTTCAACACATGGCTATAGTATTTCCTATAATCGTGACCAGTCTGAATTGGTTAAAACTTGTACTGAATGAAAGAAAGAAACACGAACACGTGACGAATCCCTTTACAACAAAAAATGACTATTTTTAGCTCTCGGGTGTGGGTCATCGAAGACGACCTTTACTTTTTGTACGACGTATATTTAGAAAGCAAGTGAGGGTTGTATATATTATAGTGTTTATCTACATGCACAATAACACTAAAAACCTATATAATAAACATATAGATGACAATCTAAGTATTTTATATAACGACGTAGTAAGGTGAATAAAAGAGATAAGTTTAAAAATTGGTTCGGGGCGGTTCCACAATAAAAGAGTCTCGGGCAACCAAGAACACAATTTATTTTAGCCAGAGTGCCTGAATAGTTGAGGGGGGGGGGGGCTATCTGAGTGACAGGGATGTTGGTCCGATACCTTGAGGCATTCATTCGCCGTGTTTTTGTCGAGGTATCTTTAACCCTATAATAATGTATTTATATCTTAACCCCGACGTCCTGTTTGCAAGTAGCCAAACACAAACATATATATTTTTTAATACATAATATTCTCAACATGACTGGATTCGCCACTGGCATGATCTATACTGATGACATTTCATAATAAATAATATAAGGAATATTAATATCAATTTGTCGACTGAAATTAGTGCAAAATGTCAACAATGTTAGCTACAAATAACGGATTCCATATTTAAATGTACATATTAGTCTTCTACTACAAAGTATATAAGAGAGCTTTGAAATGAATACAGTAGCAAGGACGTTGGTAAATATTTTATTGAGGTGTGAAGCTTTCACATTTCAACACCATCAGTCATCGTTAAATACACAGTATAATGTAAATGTAAGTCTCTAGTTTGCTGTCATTAGATCTAAATAATTTACCAAATACATTGTGAATCCAAACTATCTTCCCGATTAGTTGTAAATACTATTCAGTCTAGAACACCTGGTATCGCTCATCATATAGTTTCCTATAGGTTAAAGATGGCAATATTGAACGTGGTTAACTAAAAACGCCCCCC